TGCGTCCTGCGCTAGAGGGTGGGGAGGGAGGGGTGGGTTCGATCCCCACTACTGGAAAAATATTGTATGATGAATATGGTGGTCTCGTGTCTAGGTGTTTGCATATGTACAATATGTATTTATTTACAAAAGAAAGTATGTTTAAGTATGTATGTATTAGTACCCATACATTACGTGCGTTGCTTAGTTTGACTAGAGAACGTTGTGTAAAAATGTGTCCTAAAATATTTATTATTATATGGTAGCAATTTCAATTCCAATTAATTTCACTATAAATTATATTCTTAGCAATATCAAACACTGAACTAGTACTCGTATATACCTTCTTTATTGTCGCTATTTAACCGTTCACAGAACATGACCATTAATTAATTGTCAATTTAGACAATTAATTAATGGTCATGTTCTGTGATCAACCATAGATCAATTTTTAAAACATAGTATGGTCAGACCAACATGAACATTCCTCACCAATATATCAGGATCGCGCAAGTGAAATTGGAAAGTCAAGCATTACCAACTTTTATATTAAATTATGGCCGAGTATGCCGAAAGCCGAAAAACTTTTCCCTCGAGTTCTGCTTAATGTAACGAAGATTTATTCAGGAGTCCGATACGAAGGGAATGATATTCTTGGTAACGTGAAGGCTGGTAGAAACCGCTATAACTTGTGATTTTGCCGGTAGTCGGTTTGTTTCCAAACTAAGGTGACTCTTTTTTCGAAGAACATTTAAACTTGTTTGAAGGATATGCCTAGAGCCCAGCCTTAGGGCACTCCATCAGACTTCTACCAAATGTAGCTTCAAGTTGAGTACAGATGCTTCAATCCAGAGTACACAGAGACACAAAGAGACGTTTATAAGATGCCTTTGTACAGCACTGGACTTTTCTTTAATGTGAGGAAGCGAGGTGATTTTAATATATATTAAAAATCACTTCACTAATTGGTGATAATATTTACCAGAGGAAAAGTTACATCGAATGTTTTTTTAACGATTGAAGACAACGTGCACGCTGCAATACACAAATGCGGAATTTATTATCCGTACGTTTACAATCTAACGTCGGATGTCTGGATGATATGCATGTCTCCGCCCTTTTGCAATCTACACTCCCGCATTCAAATGCTTCAGCATAAAACTTAGCTCTCGTTCATGGGTACATCAAAGGAATATCGTAGTTTCTGGTGCATTTTCGATTAGGTCATAATTTACTTGCGGATACGTTGTAAGTCAACCAAAAGATTGCAAAACAAAAATATTAGTATTTAGTTGGTATCAGGTAGCACTAAAACTCTATTTATCAATCGATTACTTCGGTCAATGACTTCTCTGTCGTCTCGTATATATATATATATATATATATATATATATATATCAGAATCGATGACTCCGTGGCGCTGTTGCCAAGGTATTGGCATCGGGGGTCGTGGGTTCGATTCCCACACGGGACACTTATTTGTGCGACCCACAGATAGGTGTGTCGCATCTGGGTGTTTGTCCCCGTGCAATTTATGTTTGTGAAACGTCCTTACAACTCAGGATAATGCTATCCTAAAGTGAGGGCAATGTTAAAAAAAAAAAAAGAACCTTAGTACGTTACGTACGTACCTAGCACTCGCTTTAGTATACCTGACAACCTGACAAATATCGGTACCGACACTTCGATAATACTGTTAATTGCAATTTTACGTGCCAATTTATCACGTGTTCAGAGGTCAAAGCGGAGTACATCTTGACGAAAGCTACACATTTTCGAAATAGTAATGAAAAAATATTTCTATCATACGTGAAGTCTGCCAGGCGATGTTTTCGCGTGGTGCTCTATACTCTGATATCGTCTGTACTGGGCAGGCTTTTTCACAGCAGTGAGACCAAGGCTGTTACCGTTGAATTGTTGACATAGATTGTAATTTCAAAATTCTCAAAAATTTACTTGTTGATAAAAACAAATCTAAAAAGGTCCATGGACCTTTCTCAGGCTTAGGACAATCGAGGCCATTAATCTCATTGTTCTTCAACTTTTACGTTAAGGAAAATTTACAGAATAAATGAAGTACTCCGTCTGTAGGAATGAAAGTTATTTACGTGGAAAATCAAGTCTCATCGTGAAAATATCGCCGTATAGAGTGAAAACTTTGGAACCAAAATCAAAACCACGTACCGTGTTTTCTTTTACAATCCTACGAGCTGTATGTGCAGCGTTTTGCCTTGGTGAATCTCGTATTAATAATTAAAAGTGATATTTTAAGTTTTCCGTATTGTGAACAGACCGATGTAAAACAAAACAGAAGACGTGAAACTAATGAATCACTACATCCGAAACACAAATACACAAGCCTATATTTGGGAGGAATTTGAATTTGGAATACGAATTCCAAATTCAAATTTGTTTGACTACGAAGTCAAACGCCAGATAATTGAGATCAACGTTGGCAGTTCGACAAAACGCCATTTTCATATATGGACGTAATATATAGACTTTCCCTTCTAGCATTTATTGCAGCAACTATTACGTTAATGGGCAGGATTGTCTATGGCATCACAACCGGCGCAAAATAGAGTTGTTAGTGCTTTAGCACTCCGTTTCGTTAGTGAGGTAAGCGGTGCTTTAAAGATTAGCAATGCAACTGCTATCGCATGTATGTTGTGGTTATCTATTATCGGCGGTAACCACTATATGACTCCGTAATGGAGTTGCGAAGGTATTGGATTCCGCGTCGGGGTTCGTGAGTTCGATCCCCACACGAGACAGCTATTAGTGTGACGCACAGATAACTGTTTCGAATTAAAATTCAAAATAGATTTATTCAAATATCTTGTATGTAAAACACAGGATTATGTTATCCTACAGTAAGGGGGCGATGTTCCCAAGGAGAAAGCTACAATAGATCTTTCTAGGTGGTAGACTCACTATCCTTCTTCTTCGACACAAAATACAAAAACCACTTACTATAAAGCGCATCTACCCCTTTGTCACCAACAGTGTTCGCAGTTGAACGAATGGGCAGGTCCATCCGGGCTAGTACCACGACGTCGATGTAGAAGTGTTTCACTTCTGCGTTTTGTCTGGTGAGTGAGGTAGCCGGGGCCCACTTTCTTAAAAGGTGGCAACGCATCTGGAACCCTACGGGTCTTGCAAACGTCCATGGGCGGCGGTTATCACTTAACATCAGGTGAACCGGCAGCTCTAATTCCACTTTCTCGCATAAAAAAACTCATGTGACTAAAGTCTCAACCCTTACCTCAGAATGCGTTTCAGTTCCCTCAGCTACTATAATCAATACTATATTATTGACGGATTTACGAAGGCGACAAATAACTGATCCAATGTTAAAAGTCCCGAGTTTTACAACGGCGAAGTTGATCCTTTTAGAGCTATAATATCACTTCGCTGCACACCCCGAGCCTTCTGGTCTGAACCGGACGAAATAAAGTCGTGTTCGCAACTGTATATCTTCCCGCAAACTCATTGCTTATCCACCGTCCAATGCCAGTACCGTTGCATTCACTGCAAAGAATAAACGCCTCAGTGGACGATGCAAGTAAAATGGAATTGAAAATGCACTCAGCCGACGCGCTTACTTAAATTTCCGATGCAACAGTTGCATTTCTATATTAGTTTTAGGCTTTTTTCCGAGTATTATAAACGTTATGTACAGTCTACGCAATATCGATTCTCTCACGTAGGAAAAACGGTAACATCTCTACGTTTATTTTTGACATATCAAACTTGTGATTTAGAACAAAAGAGAAGTGTTTAGATAATGTAAAAGCCGGTCAAGTGCGAACTTGTCCGCCGAGGGTTCCGTACCTACCTGTACCCTAATGAGTAGATGCGGTATAAAACTGCCACCGATTTTCTCAGGGACGGGTGGACCTAGCAAGTTGAAATTTATACCGAATGCTGTGCTCTATAGTCCCTATTAGGTGTATAAAAATCAACACGATAAAAAGATATGGGCCATTTTAGATCATGGCGAAAACTTGAAAGTACCAAAAGTTACCTTAATTTTCAACCTTTTTTTCATATTAATCGTTTTTCATCGTTTAATGCATTTTCCATTTTAGCTTATGCGAAAAACTTTCGTGAATCTTATAATCGTTAGAATCAGATCCACATGTTCGAAGGAATAGAAACTTTAATTGTGTAATAATAATAATAAGTTTATTGATAAAATTATAGCCATGAATAAGAAAGTACCTGAACTAGGAATAAAGCCTGTATCTAATCAATCCAAAGTCAAAGTCAAAATTGGTTTATTTATTAAAGGTTTATTTCAAGTTTAACTGATCGTCAAAAAACTTCAATTATATTATTAAGTAGACCAAATAAATCACTTAACCTAATGTTAAACTTAAAGAAGGAATAATCAATTGTAAAACACAATATGTCTATTGCCTTATTACTTACACTTACTATACTATCTTATCGTATTATTTCGTCTAGACCTTGGTAAAAAAAAGTAAATTTGGTCTTGCCAGTTGAAAACGTACAGTTTTCGCATCTGTGGTAATATTTTTAATGTGGCCACTGGCAGTTTTTACATTTTTCCCACAGCTGTAATCTTTTTATTATACAGAAATTAACCCGCCCTTACAACTTTACGATGGACATAACATTTCGACGTTTTCGCCCGGTGTCTTTTATTGCGGTATTGCCCGCTCTCTAAATGTAGCACAAAGTGTGTTTGCATGTTCCGTGGAGTTGAATAAAATTATTTTATGTACGCCAGGCACGGTAACTGTGTTGTATATAAAAAAACTTCAACATACTTATATAACGAAGAGTAATATCCTACGGGTACATAAGCTTACGTACACGCGGATAGATATGGCAATTGGCAGTGGCGCGAACAGAGATTTCAGAGAGACTAAAAACACTCACCAATTGATCTAAGTGATCGACAATAACATACTCATATGATATCTAAAACCTGCCAGTGTACAGACGATTTCCCCCGCTTGGCTCATGTTGGTTCCTCCGTTCTTTGTCCAAAGGGAACTGCTTGGTGATAGCGGCGGTGCTCTGCTCGTCGAAGCTGCGAAGCGTCACCAACTTGTTCATCGTGTCGTTGGCGGTGGCGGATTTGCTGGTGGGCCTGGCGGTGCTACCCTTCTCCGCCACGCGGGAGGTCTTCAAGGTACGTCTGAGCCAGTGGAGGCCCAGAAGACGCTGTCATCTCCTATCATGGTCCAAGCCGTGATAGCTCTCGCCTATCATGGTCCGAGCCCTGATAGCATTGTCCAGGCGAGTGTCATTGCTCGAATAAATTGAATTAAAAGCGCGCTTTTAATTCAATATACTCGAGCAACCTGAGCTATCCACGGTGCCGGCACCAATTAAATTGTAAATTTTATGTGCTGACTTTTCAAGTGTTTAACGGTGAAGGAAAGCATCGCGAGGAAACGTGCATTTTTTCGAAATAAATAAATTTTTCAAAAATATTTGTAGTCCGCCAATCCGCAGTGAATTTGCGCAGTGGACTATGCCTTCTTGTATATTGTATTAACTGATGTTTTTGCTTTCGGTCCCGAGACTATTAAAGCTTCATCTGAACCCACGGGTTTGGGGGACTATGCCCTAACACCTCTTGTACACAGTTCTAGAAGATAGGTGAATGAGGTGTATGTTAGTTATTACGTCTTCTTACTGTGGTCGAACGGTGGAGAGTATACAGCTTTTGCATGGCTTCATGTATAAGATTATCACGACTAAAAACACTTCCTCACAGGCGATCGACGATGATCGGTAGAAATATTTGTACTATTGCATTTGATCAGTAAGTTAACTTTGGCCTGCTCTTTGAATGTTCTTGTTATTGTAACGCCTCGAATGAAAAAGACACATTGAATGCCATCCGTGGATCAAAGTTAAATTTGACCATATTTTCAAGCAATAAAATGTCACAGGCCGTATATATAATAACTGTCTATCCTTAAAAAAAAAACAGACATAGTTAAGGCTATTGCAAAACGTTTCTATTCCACATTTACCCAACGTTTCTTTCTTAACATTCTTTTTCACATCAACAACACAAAGATCGCTTCTTTCAAAATTGATTTTGATTTTCAAATAGACTGTCACTGAAATCTATACATGAATATGAGATATTGTATATAGTAAAGTAAAGTAACATGCCTATAAATGTCCCAATGCTGGGCAGAGCATAGTCCACCACGCGACCACACTGCGGATTGGCGGACTTCACATATTTCGTAAATATTTTTTTATTATTTGAAAACGTGCAGGTTTTTCAAGATGTTTTCCTTCACCGCCGAACACGTGATAATTCAGCACTAAAAATTAGCAGTTTCACTGGTGCTGGCCCACGGACACTGAGCTATCACGTCTCTAGTGTTTCGTGTTTGTTGACTCTAGTCTATTATATTGTTTTTACACATTAGAAATATTAGACACATTGTATCGAGCCTGTCAAAAGAAGTCTGTGAAAAGTCCCCTGCCATATCACCACTGTCTTATGTCACCGGAATATAATTAAAAACAAAGCCACAGCTCAAGCTGGTGGAGGCCATCATTTTCCATAATTAGACACTTCGGAGACCGCCTCGCTAACAACAGATGGGTCTGCGAGGGGTTCCCAATCGCTGATACCAATACGAACCTTAACGCTACAAAATAAAGATATTTTTTGAAAGTCTCCATCACAATACAAATCGGTGAAAGCTCCAAATCATTTCAGACATTATCGGTTGAGAGCGCAGTATTATTTTACCGGGAAATGTCGTTAATGGAAACGTCTCCGCGATAGCCACCGCAATGCCAACTTTCTGCTTGTATACAAAGAGTTGATTTTAAAATGAATGTAATCGTTATGTAATATTGACTGAGATATTCGAGTGGCTTTTGGCAGTAATTATAAATAAGCAATACTGTTCCAATTTGTTGTTCGAGTCCATAACTTATCTAATTGCAGAAAATAAAGCTTACGGAAAATTTGTATATAGCCCAGCGATTAAGATGTCGGACATTTATAGCAAGGGTTAGAATCATTACGGTTTTCTTCATACTAGTGGTCGCCCAGTGGTCTAAATTCGACCATAATTAATTATATAAGAACCGGCACAGAAACAGTAAAAATTTTACCCTCGTAATTATTTCTAACAGAGCACGAGTCATTTCCACACATCCTTGTCCTCAATGTATCCCTCGACATTATAATAGGCCCTTTCCATTAAGGTGGCTTGGCCAGAAACGATTTCCTGGATTAGCTAGTCTAAGCCTCGGTATTTCCAGCGTGTCACCACGGCTCCGACGCGATGTGGTATATTTTTCTGTAAAAAGGTTATTTGTATATGTTATTTGTATAGTATGTATAGCGAAAGGAGCGTTAAAACGTTTATTTGTTTATAAATATGCCGAATGGACTCACGTGGACCCAAGCCATTGAAAGCTAGCCCGTATTGCTTGCTTTTCCATTTCAAATACCGTGTCTAAGCCGGATGCAAAACCCCAAAGTAAGACTGTGAAAATAAGCATAATAAACTAATTTAGCTCTTACCTCGTTTGTTAGTTGCCTGATCTTGGGTATGGCAAAGAGGACAGCGCTCAACTTCTTAGCTAATTTATCTATATGAGCTCCCCATTGCAACGTGGAGTCAATGCATTTTCCAAGGAATGCTGTTGAATCCTCAAGAGTTAGGGCATCATCATAATTAAACGAAGCCGGCCAATGACGTTTTTTTTTATGTGAAAAGTTGCCAAGCGAGCAGACGGTTCACCTGATGTTAAGTGAATACCGCCGCCCATGGACATCTGCAACACCCGAGGGTTACAGATGCGTTGACAACCTTTTGAAAATTGGGCTCCGGCTACCTCACTCACCAGACGAAACGCGAAAGTATCATACTTCCACTTTACGACGGTCTTCTGCGAGGTCGTGGTACTTACCCGGTCGAGCCTGCCCATTCGTGCAACAGCCGAGGCTGCTGCGTGGCTCTACCACCAATAATATTTTTTTGCTTTGATATCAACCTATTACCGGTTATCCTAAACGAAATATATGTAAGATACTAGCTGCTGCCTGCGACAGCATTGAATAGGCTGAAGGTGTAACATTCAGACAGAAAGATAGATATACATAAAAATATTTGTGTATGAATTATAGCCGGCTACCTTACTCACCAGACGAAACGCGAAAGTATCATACTTCCACTTTACGACGGTCTTTTGCGAGGTCGTGGTACTTACCCGGACAAGCCTGCCCGAGCAACAGCCGAGGCTGCTGCGTGGCCCTACCACCGCTAAAACATTTCTAAGAATCTTAGTTATGACATCAGAAAATACGAGGGCCATATTGAATTTCAAACGTCGTGTCAGACCTTGACGGAAACGTTTAAGTTTTGCTAGAAATGTGCCACCGCTCAAGACGCAATTTATAGAAATAACCGCTTGTGGTACAAGGCATGAGCGCTTTAGTCGGATGGCATAATATCGTTATTCGTCGTCCATTATCTATATATTTTTATGGCCGTTATAATTATGTATCTACTAATGTTAACATAAAACAAAAGTGAAATAAATTAATAACAATTAATATTATTTTAAACGGAACTTTCAAAAATAATCATTGTTGACTAAGATTGACGTCAGCAGTGGGTGTAGCAACGGATGTCCAAATCTTAAGTGGAATATCTACTATCGAGTTTATTACAATGTTTGACCTATTCGATACTAACGTAATACGAGAGCACGACGTGACTATAATTTTACTATAGTTTATTAAGGTCCGATTCTATGGAGAATTAACTAGTTTCTCGTTCTAATCTCAAAATGTTGTAATACGGACTTAAAAAATACATATTATCTAAGATAAGCAAAAAAAACTTAATAATAAAGTGTTACTAACATTTTCTGAAAAAATTTTTACTTGTTGTTTTCATACGTACATATATTAATATTGGAATAATTTGAGTGTTAAGATGACTCCGTGGCACAGTTGCCAAGGTATTGGCTTCAGCGTCGGGGTAGTGGTAATGGGTTTAATTCCCACGGCGGAGCTATTTTTATGAACCACTGATAATTGTTTCGGGTCTGGGTGTTTATTCACGTGTAATTTATTTATGTATGAAATTTATTTATGTAAAATGTCCTTATACCACAGTACGAAATGGATTTTTGAGAAAGGAAAGCTCAATTAATGTGATCTTGTTGCGTAAGAAATAATAATTATTTAATTATTAATGCTTGCATATATAGTACGTTAAAACTATACGTGTCTAGTTTCGGAAAACTAGACACCCCGAGTGAAGTTCACATATTTCTGCTAACTATTTTTAAAGGCTACATTCACTTAAAAACCGTTTACAATCTTCCGTATTCCTCGGAATATGAAGATTTTGAAAGCAGTCTCATTTTACATGGTGTGCACCAGGAGTACATATTACATATATAACATTTGTAGCTTATGACCGTTTTTTTCATATCCTGGGAAAAATTCTTGTAAACGGTAAAGGCACATTAACACTTCTTTTAAATATCTAAAACCTTTAAACGAGCAATTTGTTTATTAGCAAACGCTTTTAAAGACTCTTTTATGCAGGGGTTTCCTTGGCGATCAATCTATCTAGCTAGATTTCATTGTTAGATCAAAAAGGTTTAAGTCTGCCTACATTATAATAAATCGTACCGCCCGCCTTTTATTACTTGGACCGAACAAGCTGCAATCTATTCCCCGGATAGAACAGATAACGTCAGCTGTTCCAGTCAATAACCGTCGCAGTGGGGCTCTGAATGAGGGGAGGTACACACTCGTTGAATATCAATATTAATCTCGATAAGAAAAGTTGCCACATTAAAATATGTAGAAAAAGCGCGAAAATTAAGTGCAGAGATTAGCACTATAAACAATTTAAACTGCTAAAGTTGCCACAGTTAAAACTACCCCACTAAATCTGAGGATGTGGGTTCGAATCGGCACCATCAACTGTGCTAAGCAAAGATTTGTTTGTTTTTGGTTTCTTTAACCAAGTACTGGTTTATGTGCGATTTGTACAGGTAAAATGCGTCTACACCATTGAGTACTATACAGTACTATACTATACATATTGAGTACTATACTACATTGACGATAAGAAAATCGTTGGATACTGCCACGAGCGTGACACAATATAATTTATAACAGAAAATTAAACTCCAAAAGCCTAAGACCATGTTACGGTCATAAGATATGACACAATGGCAGGAAGTTTGTGAACCATAAACCTCTCTGTTAGACTTTAACTATGATATGTTGCGTAAACAAAAAAATTCCGAATGGATGCGCTTGTATAATACTAATGGATCGTAATCGTTGTTAAGAAGGGTTTTTAAGTAATCCTTACTAATATTACAAACGCGAAAGTTTGTATGTATGGATGTTTGTTACTCTTTCACGCACATGCTACTGAATGAGTTTTAATGTAACTTTACAATAACATACCTTATACATCAGAATAACACAGGATATAATTTATATATATATTTTATATCTGTCTTTCTGTCTGAATGTTACACCCCCAGTCTATTCTACGCAGACGTAGTCGCGGGCAGCAGCTTGTTTTCAATACACACGAAATATTTTAGTACTCATTCAATAATTTAATCGTCATTAAGAAGGATTTTTAAGTTGTGTTGTGTGTTTAGTGTTCAATTTTCATGTGTTGTTATATGTATTTTTTATGTTAGAAGGTGGAAAACGAGCTCGCGGTGCACCTGATGGTACAACCGCCGCCCACTGACATTTGCAACACCCGTAGGGTTGCAACCTTAACCTTTTAATAAAGTGGGCTCCTGTCACCTCACTCCCTGGATGAAACGCAGAAGTATAACACTTCCACTTCACGCTGGTCTTCTGTGAGGTCTTGATACAGCCCCGGATGGACCTGTCCATTCGTGCAACAGCGAAGAACAAAACTATTGTCTGGCTCTACCACAGAAGTTGAGGTCATATTTCATGATTGTACCTACATTTAAATAGGTTGATTTATATAAAACGGCTGGTTAAAATTCCGCATAGCTTTTTAATCGTGCCTCCTTGCGAGGGCTGAATTGAAAAGGCATTTGAAAAACATAACTGCAGTCCTATTCAGCACGCAAAACTCCTCGTGCAGTTAAATGCTTAACGTTTAACGGCTGTTACATTTGATTTAATTAACTGGAGTTTACAGAAACTACGGGAAAAGGCTGGTTTACGTTTAATTGCAATAAAGGAACTTTTTTTTTTCTTGGTACTCTCTGCACTGAAGATGAAACTGAAAATGTGTAGACAGTTTTATCTGCACATTCAAAGTGAGTGCATGAATTGATAAAATTACCCTTGAGAGTTGTTTCTTAAAATCTGCAATAAGATATGCAATGATAATTAAATCTTTCTTTCTTTTCTTTTCAAACATTGCCCTCACTTTAACAGTGTAACATTATCCTGTGTTGTAAGTACGTTTTACAAACATAAATTGCACGAGGACAAACACCCAGATGCGAAACAACTATCTGTGGGTCACACAAATAGTTGTCCCGTGTCGGAATCGAACCCACGACCCTCGACGCCGAAGCCGATACCTTGGCAACTGCGCCACGGAGTCATCAGTTCAGTAATCAACATTTTGAATGTATGATCATGTGAAGTAATATAAAACAAGGCAAGTCCGTGCTCACACCGAGCGAAGCGAATTTACATTGTTAGCCACGTCATGTTATACATAATCGCATATCAGATACATGTTAGCAAAATTTTACGGTACTGTTCCTATATTATTTTCGCTTCATTTATCTTGTAAAATAATTGATATTTTTGGAAATATAATTAATAGAAATAATGAGTTCTATTAATTTTTATTTACGCAATTTTCATTTATTTAAGCAATGTCAAATCCGTGAGCTAATGGCTACAATGGGCGGAATGGCTAACAGTAGATGGCAGGTGCTAAATGAAGATTGTAAAAATTAATAAAATTGCTATAATATATTGTATATTGCTTATTTTGCTTAATACTTAGAGACCGTCAAAATGAATGACACTCGTTGCTGTTGATTGCAGCATTTATTAGACGACTACTTGATAATCGAAGACGAGAGGCAATAATGGATAGTATGAATTAGTAACATTCTGTTTATCTACAAATTCGCATTTTCGGCTATGAGCAGTAACATTCTTAGCAAAAGGAGATTTAATAATTTTTATTACTAGAGATAATAGTTGTGTAATAGTAAAAAAAAATCTTAACATTTTTTAGATGAAAGAAGAGCGGTGAACTTACACTAGACGGTTTTATAAAGTACTAGCGACCCGCCCCGGCAATGTATTATATATATATATCTTCCTCTTGAATCACTCTATCTAGTAAAAAACCGCATCAAGATCTGTAGTTTTAAAGATCTAAGCATACACAGACATACACCGGGAAGACCTTGTTTATACTACGTAGTGATCTGAAACGATTGCTAAGTAATGCACAGAATTTAGAAAATTTCTCTTCTCGTTCCGAAATGTATCCAGTGACAGGTCATCCACGCTCGAACTCAAATTGCGTCCCCAGACGTTTAACCCGGACACTTGTTGCCCGTTAACGAGTCATGGGAATGGTAAGTTTCCTGAACGCCGTTCTGGAAAGTTCGAAATGTAGAGAATCTTCCTCTTCGTATTTAGAGATGTCCTTCCGTAGCTCGATTTTCTTGGCATTTCATCCCACTAGGGACGGAGTTTTACTCTTCCTACAAGGATTTGTAAGCGTTCATACGGTTGTATTTGGGTCAGGGGACGCTCTTTACATATTAGAATGTTAGTGCACAAAGTACTTGCATACCAGGTATGCTGAAAAGGATATGACAATGGATGAGTAACAATGTAGATAAAATTCGTTGGGATTTTCGTTGAGGCAATCAGCTGTTTAGGTTAGTGGCTAAAAGGTCGGGGCGCAAATCCCGAAGACGTGGGTTCGATTTCCACAGCGGCGAGAATTTTTCTATAGAGGCACTTAATGTGGCAAATATAAATTACATGTTTTCTCACGTTTTAACACGTCTTGTGTTTCAATATCATTGCCAATATATCGCCGACTAGCTGAAATATTCATGAAACTTTAATTCATCCATTCAATCCAACCAATCATGTCTAATGTCCCAGCCAATACCGGTTGTTGTTGGAAGTACTGCCGCAGTTGACGAGTATACTTAACTAGGGCAGTTAGTCCGGTTAGGTGTGTCCAACTTCGACGTAGAGGTCAATCGGCGAATCCAATCGTGCGTCACCAATGATGACCGGAACTAAATCTTGGACCTTCACTGCTGACCCTATGAGGAAGCCCAAAGTTGCTCAGTAAGCTATAGTGCGGGCTATGTATTTCTCTGCGTGATAGAGTTCGCAGAGAAGGCATTCGCAATAGAACAATGATTACCGATATAGCTCAGACGGTTAATAAGTTGAAGTGATAATGGCATTTAGTTCGAAGAACCGATAGCTGATGGCAAAAAAGGTTCTTGAGTGGCAGCGTCGTAGTGGTCATCTTAGTATAGGACGACCGCCCCACTTGATGGAGCGGTGACCCGTGGTAGTCAATGGATGCAGGATCAAGCTTCATGGCAATCTGTGAGGAAAGCTTATGTTCAGCAGTGGACAGTCTGAAACGATGATGATAATGAAACCAAAATCGACTCTGGAAGTTGCTGTTTGAGAAACTGCCACAAATTATAGTTCGCGCCAACATATTGCAAAATAGTAAAAATATACTACATTTAAATTGGTTTTTGTTCTTGTTTATCTCAAATTGGTTAAAGAATATACATTTAAATGGTTAAAGGATATACAAAAGCTGTAATTTTAGACTCAAATTGCCGCTCCACACTCAGATATAAACAAAACTGCTCATCCATTAATTTGAACGCCGATTATCGGTTGAATCTAAAATGCGTTTGGCATTAACATAAGCGATTAAATCTTTAAATAGGTCAATGGTTCCATAGACAGGCGTGGTTTTAGTTAAAGCCCTTGACGCTAATGTGTTACAGAGAAAATTGGTATCTTTAATTGATTTATTTCTCACGTGAATAATTGGCAATTGATTAGATTCACCTGATATTAAGTGATGACCACCGTCTATGGATGTCTACTACACCAAGGGGTAGTAGAGGTCCATAGGCGGTGGTCATACGCGGTAAGGCCACGCAACACCCTCTGTTGTTGCACGAATGGGCAGGTACGTCGGTAAGTACCGCGTCCTCACAGAAGACGAGCGTTGTAAATCAGAGTTCTAAAATGGCATCTGTAACGCACCATCCGCCTTTAAATGTTTAAGTTTAATATGGAAATTAAAGAGATCTTGTTTGATATGACGTTACGAATCAATCAGTACTTGCTGCAAGCGTGGTAACCGATGTAAGGGGCATAATAACATCAAGCTCCCGCTCGTCCGTACATCAATGTTACGGGTTTGACTTCTGGCACTTGATACTCGTTCGACAAATAACCTTTCTATTTCATGATGTATTTGTTCCATGTTCTTCTATGAGGCCATGTTATCAATTAAGCCAAACCATTCGTACCTTAGGTGCGAGTCACCTTTAAGTGACTTTGCAACATAAACTTTTAAGTTAACATTAAATTTTTTCATCTTATTTCAAAATATCGATTAGCCACTCGTTAAGTACATCCTCGCATTGACTACACCACGCACTAAACTAATCGAGGGTTCCTGAACATCTCGATTAACAATGTCAACCCTAAAAACACAACATCGTATCCAGGTGGCTCTTTCTGAGAATAAACTTGCCAACTTCTTTCTGTTTCTTTTAATATCTTTATGAATTTTCTTTCTGATAATAATCTTTCAAGATAATAACCTTCTTCGGATCTCGGCGACAACCATACCATAACTTTGCCAACGTGCAAAATTCCTTGCTGTTCACTTAAAGCCCATGTGTCCATGTCTTGTCTCTCAACTTCCAGATATGGATATTCGGCGACGTCTGGTGCTCCGTGTGGCTAGCGGTGGACGTCTGGATGTGCACTGCCTCCATCCTCAACCTGTGCGCCATCTCCCTGGACAGATACGTGGCCGTCACCAGGCCGGTGAGCTACCCCAGCATCATGAGCAAGAAGCGGGCAAAGGCGCTCATAGCTGGCCTTTGGGTGCTCTCCTTCGTCATCTGCTTTCCACCTTTGGTGGGGTGGAAGGACAAAAAGGTGGGCCGTTGAAAATTAATCATAAACCTTAACCAACATGTGGAGAAAAGAGTACGAAAAGTTTTTCGCTGCCATGGGAACCGAACCCACGTCACACACGTACGCACGCACGCACGCACGCGTGCTCGCCAGTTCCCGTTGTTAAAGTTACAAAAAAAATGTTGTAACCTCTTAAATGGCTAAATATTTTGTGAATAATAATTTATTCTGTCATTATTGTATACTGTGAAGTTTCCGAATAAAACGAAAATTAAAATTAAAATTATTAAAATCGGCCTCGATTACTGCACTCACCTAAAATAACGCAAAAACGCAATACTTCTAACTCATGCTCGTCTTTTGTAAGGCGTATCACTTCCTCGGATGAACCTGCCCATTATGCAACAGCAGAAGGTACTGTGTGGTAAACTACAAAACACTTAAACATATTTACTTATTCAAGCGATGCAGGAGTTGTGAATTTGCTGAGAGAATAGAAGAATAGATTTGTTTTTCACTAGCGTTTAATGTTTTACACGCAATATACCTCTTCGTACAACATATGGGACTGCTTTGTTGCACCGTAAACCGCTCGGTTACTCGTAAATGTCGCTTACATTAAATTTGAATAAAGTTTATTTTTTATTTATTTCTTTTTTTTTATGTGGGAAAGTGATAAACGAGCTGGTAGTTCGATGATGTTAAATGATAACCGCCGCCCATTGACATTTGCAACACCCGTAGGGTTACCATCTTTTAGTAACATACCCCGGCTAACTCAAACACCAGACGAAACGCAGTATAACATCTCCACTTCACGCCGGTTTTCTGTGAGGTGGTGGTACTTACGGGCCGGACGGGCCTACCACAGTTTTATTATACTCATACATAACTGTATTACATTCTGAAAAGCCAACTCTTAAATACAGCCAGAAGAAGCGGAACTGAAGGACGGCTGGTCTCCTAACCCTCCGTGCAAGTGGACATGCGAGCTGACGAACGACGCTGGCTACGTGGTCTACTCCGCCCTCGGCTCCTTCTACATCCCGATGTTCGTGATGCTGTTCTTCTACTGGAGGATATACAAAGCCGCCGTCAGAACCACGAAGGCAATCAACCAGGGATTCAGAACAACAAAAGGTCATTAATGTCTTTGTGAAGACAAACCGGATTTGTGATCTTACGTATCCCGATATTGCCCAGCTTAACAAAATATTTTTAAATACACAGTAATTATGTACAATTCTTTCGTAGAATGAACTAAAATACCGATGAACACATACTAAATTTAATATACATTATATGCCAAATAGGATTCTTATAGATTCGAGTGTTTGTGACCAGCCCAATCGAATATAGAAAATTTGTCGTTGGTCCAATATTTTACACGTTAGACATTAAACGCCTAACATTAGACAACTTTAAAACCCAAGTCAAATCTTAAGTCTATTACTAGAAATCAATAAATAATTAATCATTCGTATCCTAGCGCATCAGAAATTAATAAGGAACGATCGTAAAGGCTTTCCAAAGAACATAACTGTAGCTTCCAAAACGGCTCGAATCTCAACAACTGGAACACTCGTAAGATTTAACAAGGTTGGGGTAGCGTCCGACTTTTAGGAACATCCCCCGCCCTACATATTAAATTGCTGCTTAAGAACTCGCCCCTACCTCATTGTATTTTACAACCGAACCTTCCCTTTGTCCGTGAATAATTATACGCAGCGCTGATCCGGACTTAACAATGTTACTGTCATCAAGTGGAAGAGCCCTTTTATTAAATCGCAATTAGGACTTAGAGCAGCGAAGATCGCTGATACGACCGAAGAGCAAGATAAGTTGGTTTACGATGTATCGTATCATGTTTATATGCTTGATGTGAAAACTTCTTTAGGCGCGTTGAGCACTGTTTTGGTGGACAAAAAACATGGTACTCGCTTCATCGTCACTCAATCAGTAAGTTTTCCATATTGAAATTTAAATTCAAAATATCTTTTCACACAGACGCTGTATCCCATAACACTGTGTTCATGAGTTTTCCTGAGGATAGGATGACATTAAACTACTTCTATTAACTCCCTGGTGCTGGCATCATGGTGCCGGAATTTGGCTTGAACATGGGTTGCTCAAGTATCACGGCATTTAAATACAAACAATAAAATATATCCACATTTGCGCCGTTTACTTCTTCAGCTGGCTCTTATACCGCCCTTCCGACTGGAGTACCCTTGTTAACGATATGAGTTTCAGGCAAGGGATTGGGTAGCCGGTTCGACGACAACCGCCTGACCCTGAGGATCCACCGTGGACGAGGGTCGGCAAGGCCTCACGGCTCCCCCATGTCCAACGCCTCCAACCACTCCACGAGCACATCCCTCAGCGCATCACCCGAAAGGCTGAGGAGGTATATGTTTTTTTTTATGTTACAAGAGGGCAAGGGAACTAGCGGATCGCCTGATGCTAAGTGATAGCCGCCACCTTGAGTTGCCACCTTTAAATAAGTGGTAAGATTTAAAAAAAAAAAGCCTTTCGTTTTTATTTACCTATAAAGAAAGTATGATAATGCCATTTACTGACAACTTGTTTCAATGGAAGATGAAAAATGTCGTTGTTCAAAATAAAATATCAGCTTTCTTCGGTACCTAAATACTTATTTGCATATTATTTTATTACTAGCTGCTGCCCGCGACTACGTCTGCGTAGAATAGGCTGAAGGCGTAACATTCAGACAGATATACATAAAATATGTGTATAAATTATAAACTATGTCTTATTCTGATGTATAAGCTATATTATTGTAAAGTTTCATTAAAATCCATTCAGTAGCGTGAAAGAATAACAAACATCCATCCATACATACAAACTATCGCGTTTATAATATTAGTAAGGATTAATGAGTGATTTATCACGGTACTTTGCAAAAATTTCACTTGTGTCAACTAGTTAATGTTATTTGTGAATTACAGTAGAATCTTTTGAATAGAACATTTCTTATTATATAATATTTTTATATGTAAATCGCAAATGCCTGTTGATATAAAATAGCAAACTTTAATACCATTGGATCTTAGCATAATATTACAAATCCTAAGGGCCTATTATAATGTCGAAAACTTTGCGGACAAGGATGTGTGGAAATGACTCTTGCTCTGCAATTACAATTCTTCTCGCAGCTGCTGACTTGATATCGGTAGGATGGTAGGTTTTTTAATTTCAATAAGAGCTTAATAAAACGAGCCTGTATTAAATAAAGAAATTTTAAATTTTTATAGTAGTACTAATCTCTGCATTTAAGACGAAACATTAAAAAGTCGGGGCGCGAATCCCGAATGGGTTCGATTCCCACAGCGAAAAACCTTTCATACCTTTCTCTACAAATTTTGAAGAGGACTTTTTTTACGTATTACGCTTTCACTCGTACATCAATCCCGTTACCACTTAGGCATTCCAGTGCGCGTCGGGCCCACGAGAAGATCAAGATATCGGTGTCCTACCCGTCGTCCGAGCAAATATGCCCGGGCCACGAGAACTCGCGCTCGCCGAGCAGATCGCCGAGCCCCTCCCTCTACGCGGTCCACTACGAGAGGGATGGGCGGGAGCTCACCGAGAGCCGCCTGAGGGTGCGACCAGCCCACCACCTGGCGCCCACGCCGCTCTACGACGAGCTAGACGACAAGCCCCGCACTAGGAGGATGGGCAAGAGGAACATCAAAGCGCAAGTGAGGACTGAAGGACTGTAGTCCAATCGTAATTTTTTTTATTTATTTAATCCAGTAATAATGTAAATAACACAAATTATTCTCTGCTAAACTGTGATGCTATTTGTCGGCAGATCTTATTTACTGATCAACAAACGTACTTTTCTTTTGTAAGTAAATACGTATTATTGACATATAAACACCCAGACACGAGAAAAACACTATGGTCACAAATCTATCCAGGTGTGGGGATCGAACCCACACCCTCTGGCGCAAGAGACAGGGTCACTGTCCACTACGCCAATTGGGTCGTTAATTATAGGTGTTAATGATTCGAACTCCTATTTCAACCTTGGTAAACCTCATGTATGTTGTTTGAATAGATTTTGCATCGAGTTGGAGTTAGTATTTTATTTTTCATTGTTATTCAAAGTTATTTAGTATTTTCTGACATTGATCATGAGTGTTTACGGCATAACACTGTGAACTTTGTTTGATTAAATACGTCTTACCTAATATTAAAATACTAAATAAACTCATCAATTCAAAAACTTGAGAAGTCGAAGTTAGTAAATCGACTTGGCAGTATTGTAAACGCCAATAGTCAGCTTAAGCAATAGTTAAGACTGTAACTTAAAAGAAAACGTTATGGAGCAGCGGCAAAGAATCTTCATAGGATGGAAGTGCACAGCTTAATTGATTTTTCTTGTATTAGAGTTTACAATCGAGTTGTAAGAACTTCTCGAGGTTTTAGCTTTACTTGAAGTGTTTTAGGTTTAAACTGCACAGGTTTTTGCCGGCTCCAGCTTAGACTCAGCTCACGGTCAGTTCAATCGAAGGATCTTTTTCTTTGTGTCGGGGGAAATCTTAAGAGATCGCCTCCGGAACGAACCGGCGCCACTTGGTTGAGAGGGATAAAACTTCCCCGATTCCCTCACCGTTCAGCGACAGCACAAGAACACTTCGTACTATCGCTCCAATCAATTCCACTAAAATTAACGATCAGGGCCCCCATTTCGATCGCCCATGAACCCAATGTCCCAGTTGTTGCCAGGTGATGCGGTTCTATTTCGATCGCCCGTGATCTCAGTGTCTACCAAGCTCCACCGAGTTTGCTGCTGTTGCCAGGTGAAGCGGTTCCGCATGGAGACGAAGGCGGCCAAGACCCTGGGCATCATCGTGGGCGGCTTCGTATTCTGCTGGCTGCCCTTCTTCAGCGTCTACGTGGTGCGCGCCTTCTGCGGCGGCTGCGTGACGCCGATCGTGTTTTCGGTGCTGTTCTGGCTGGGCTACTGCAACTCGGCCATCAACCCGCTGATATACGCGCTGTTCTCCAAGGACTTCAGGTGGGCAACTGCCAAGGAACCCATCGTGGACAGAATAACCGATTTTTAACAACCAAGCAATAACAACATCTCAAGTTGACAGCGTTAACGTATTCATTTAAATGTGTTGTCTATTATTTTAACGGTTAACGTTATACAAGTTATATACGGTTAACCGTTTATAACAAATAACAACTGAGGGCAAATAAGTAATATACCTGTTACATTAATATTTTCATGTGAGAAGTTGGTAACGGGCAGGAGGTTAACCTGATGTTAAGTAATTACCAAAGACCATGGACAAGACATGTGGATGGTAGATACGTATCCAACCTATATCTCAATCAAACACAAATAACACAGGTGGTCCGTGGAGTTTAACAAGAAATTGTGGTATCAGGACGTTTAACGCCACAGTCCATCCCGCGACCGTGAATGCCGCATAGTATTCGAAATGACGACGATCAATATTTCAATGATTATAACACGAACAAGTAGAAGTAATTGAGTTCCGTCAGTTTCTCGAACGGGAGAGTTTCGTTTCATCTTTGTTCCCTTTGCGAGGTTATACGTTATTATGACGGTCACAGGTTCGCGTTTAAGCGAATAATATGCAAGTGTTTCTGCGCCGGGGGCTCCCGACGGGACTCTGAGGGTGACGCGTCCCGACGCCCCCCGCGCCCCCCTCAGGAGCACTCGCACTCGCTGGAGGAGAACGATACGCTCGCGCAGAGTGACGTCACCAGGTGAGTTAGCTGGGGAAAAGTGTATTAAGTATAAAAGTACCAGCCTATACATGTCCTACTGTTGGGCAAAGGCCTCCTCTGCTCATGAGGTATCAGAGACCACGCGGTCTCACTGCGGATTGGCGGTCTTCACATATGTTCGAAGCATTTTTTGTAATTATTTCGAAAATATGTTATTACTAGCTGCTGTCCGTGAATACGTTTGCGTAGAATAGGCTGAAGGCGTAACATTCCGACAGAAAGACAGATATACATAAAATGTATATAAATTATAGCCTATGTGTTATTCTGATGTATAAGCTATATTATTGTAAAGTTTCATTAGATTCCAATCAGTAGTATGAAAGTCTTGCGTGAAAGAGTAACAAACATCCATCCATACATACAAACTTTCGCGTGTATAATATTAGTAAGGATAAAGATAGTAAGGATTTTTCATGCACTCGAGTTTTCTGTTTCATTCCACAATTAATGTCTGTTGAAAGTACATAAGCTTTTATATGTGAACTATTTTGTCGCGATATGCGAACTTGCTTTGGAACAATTCTCAGAAAACGCAAATATTCCACCAAAACGACATTTATGGACTCGACATATCTAATGTGTATGAATGCTTTTGCTCACAGGTGACGCCAAGCTTTGCGGCGGCAGAACGCTCAGTTCCAATCAACCGTCGCCTGCGTTTAGCGAACGCGAAACTAAGAAAAAAATAACAATTGTCTATGGATATTTGAATCGACAGATATGTTTCCTCGAACTTTTGTCATATTTCAAACGTTACCTAAGGAGTGGAACTTTCTAACTGTCAAATCTAATTCGTTGTGACAGAGATTTAAATTAGCGAAGAAGAACAGAACAAAAGAAGAACTTGAAGAGTAAAGCAAATCAAATTCGAATACTCGCCACGAGTTCTTTTCGAGTGCGGCCGTTGATATTTGCCAGCCTTTAAGGCACTGTATAAAATGCATTAATGATGTAAATTGACTAACAGAGATATAATATATAGATAAATTTAAATAAGCTATTGTAATCCGATTCGGGTTGTTTTATTTTTTGTTTGTTATACATATTACTAATAGCCTTAAATCTGGAATTTCATAAGCACGAAGATATGTATAGTATAAAGGAGATGTGGTTTTTGATTTTGAGAGATGAGAGATTTGACTCTATTTATGTCAAGTGTAGAAAAGACAGAGCGTAATTTTCGCTTGCCTTGAAGTTGTTAATATCTGTTACTATTAGTTACTTCAACTATGTTGTATGACGTTTGAAGTGCTGGTTAATTTGATTACATTTCATTGTACAGCCGACTTAGGGTAATGCGATTAATAAATATACGTAAACGTAATTATTACAGTAATTGAATGTAAAAAGTCACTTTTGATATTTTCTAAATCACGTGTGTTGTCCATGTTGTAAGTAATTGTAATAAATATGATACCGATTCGTCACTTCTAGTCAAATTATTTTGTTTGGAAGTCACCTAATTTTTGTTTAACTCTAAAATTGGCAATACTTTACTCTCTTGACTGGTGGCCAGTAAAGATTTCATCTTCAATGATATATGCAAGAATTGAAAATATGGTACCAAAATTTACAGGCGATAAAATTTGATAAAGCCCTTTGATAAACCCTTTGCCAATTTTTAAGTTTGTATTTATTTTTATAAAGCTGTACATGATATCTATTTATCACACCAAGTTTCAACCCTTTACCTGTTTTTTTTTATTTGTTTGTGGGAAATGTATTAAAATTTCTCATTTCAAATTGCACACATTTCTAGACCCTGTGACACTCAACTTAAAACAGTGTTGACTGAGTTGCCAACATAAACTCAATACCGTACTTGAACCAGATCTGTCATAGGTATTCAGTGAATACATAACAAGGTAGGTGACCCTTAAAGTGATAAAAAATTAAGTTTAGTTACATGAACTTATGTTAGAAGTGATGAGACGGAAAAGATACTTTCTACGTTCCTCGGACTCTCGCTTTATGTTCGATGTTAAATTTAAAGTCGTTAGTTAGTCGGATGTTGTATGTTAATAAATATTTTAATTAAAAGCAATTGTATAATATATCAGATGTTATATACGCCTGTTGTTTCTCTTGCTTAATAGCCTTTTTAATGATTTCTTCTCTTGCTTCAAAAGTAAAAGAAAAGTAACAGACTATAAATGTCCCACTGTTGAGCAAAGACCTCCTGAACAGAGAGATTAGTGGAATTCACGTATCTTCGAAATATTTTTTTTTGTTATTATTTCGAAAATATACAGGTGTCCTTCACTTTCCTTCACCGTTGAGCAAGTGATAAGTCAACACTTACAATTAATAATTTCATTGGTGCCGGCACAGGGGATCGAACTCAGTTTGTATATGGAATTAAAAGCGCGCACTCGGACAATGAGCTATCACTGCTTTCTCTTGCTTTGTTGCCATTTAATCAACTTTTGATATTTATCGCGGAGAAGACAAATGAGCAATTTAGTCGCTCTAATGATATGATTATCACTTCCCTTTAGATTTTTTGGTGAGAGTGACAAGCGAGCTGGAACACCAGATGTCAAGTCAGAAATGGCGCCCATCGATGTTTGCAACCCGTAGGGTTGTAGATGCGTTGCCACCGCTTAAGTGGGCCCCGATTACTTCATTCACCAAACCAAACGCAGAAATATAAACACTTCTACTTCTTGCCGGTCTTTGTAATGTCGTGGTACTCCCTCCGACGGTCTTGCCCATTCGTGCAACAGCGAAGATACATAAATAATAAATATACTGGCGAAGTTGCGGGGCCCTACCGTAGTCAAAGATTGCGTTGCAAAAGCATTGCCGGTATTATATGTTTCATATTTGGACTTTTTGAAAGCGACCTTTACGGAAGTGATAAATAAATTGAAGAACCATGACAAGAAACAACATTTTAGAGAAAATGTTAAAACTTATTTTAATACTTTTCTTAGCACTGTGTTTTTATTTATTTAGTTAATAACTATTGATTTTTAAAGATTTTCAAATAAATTTCACTTGAATAAATATTAATTATGAGCCTTTACAGAAACGCAAATCTCATTAAATAACACGAGTGAAACGGCGAGCAATAATAAAATTTAATCAATATTTTAAAACAAACTACTTATTTAACTCATATTAAAAAAAACGGCTTAATGCGAGTCATGAGAGAGAGATTAATGTTGTATGAGAACCCCACTTTAATAATTTTTATTCTGTTTTTTAATATTTGTTCCTATAGCGGTAGCAAAAATACATCATCTGTGAAAATTTCAACTGTGTAAGTCATGAGATATAGCCTGGAGACAGACGGACGGACAGACACACAGGCAGACAGCCAAGTCTTAGTAATAGTTCTTCATTTTACCGTTTGGGTACGGAATCCTAAAATTTAAGCAAAAACAAAATTAAGGCCAGTTGTCTAGTGGATCTTGTAAATCATAGATGGCGAAACTGCAGCAGACTCCTATATATTTTTTGTCACAATGCTAAAAAATATACTGCTAAAAAATATACATTAAGGTATTTAAAGGTGTTGCGACAAAAATGTTAGTTAATTAAATCAAATAAATGAATTTCAAATAAAATCAATTACGATAACATTTAAATAATTATAAATAATAACATTTAAAACATTAAGTTACTTCGTCTAATTATTAGTGTTATAACAATAAAAATGTTTTGTTTACATTGCACGCTATAACTAAATAATTGTAAGAAATTATTAATATAACGTTATATGCTATAACGGCAATAACGTTTCACCGCTGCTATAACGGTTCGCACTTGCCTCTTGGAGGCTCGGCCACGATTATCGCTGTCAGTGTCAATGAACAGCTGTCAAAAGAGACGCCTCCTATGTCATTGCTCCTATTTTAATTTTATCATTCAGTTAAACAAGTGCACTCGTGGCCAGTGTGTGTTAACTGTTTCAACGTAATATCTTATCAAAACTTCGCCGACTGAGTGTTTATATCCGTGTGTGCGCCGCCCACGCTTACGTTTGTAAACAAAACCCAATATGAGCGACACAATGTACTTTGGCGGCGTAGAAGGGTGAGTTATTTAAAATAAAAGTTCGTATACACGTGTATTTTGTTCATAGTATTGTTGAAAGTAGAAAGGTTTGCCTTGGGCATGCCTAAACGTTATGAAACGCTGCAACGGCTAATGTATACGAGGCATGGATAATTACAGTTTTATCATTCAATGTTAGTTGATATCCAAAAAAAATAATTATGTAAACATGTCCTTTGTTTACGTTGTATTGTTTTTGATTTTGTTCCCGCCAATCAGAAAATGAGACAGTGAGGTGTGTCGACACACCGACAATTGTAGTAGATTTCAAATTGCACGTTATATCTACTGGGCTAAGTTATAATTTTATATCACAACGTAATAAGGAATCTTAAGAATGTGCATAGGTTGACGACCTTGAAAATTTTTACCACTTACTTTTAATGATAATAATAGTATTGTATGTTTATAAACTAGATTAAATACTCGACGTTGGAACTTTATGGGCCGGTTATAAAGACTGATGTGTTATCAAATAATTCTGTTTCATTGTTTTCATAAAGAGCGACGAGGTTATTTTAAATACAATTTAATGAAAGAAAAATACCTGTGCAAAGTGTCGTGTTAGTATACTACGCAACTTGATAAATAAGTCTCGTACTCATTTTCCAACAATGGAACGGTTTGTTGTTTATTGCTTAAGTTATATATAACGAAGTTACCAATTTATTCCTAACATCTACTAACTAAAAGTGAAGAAAAGAAGTAAAGAAAAATAAGTAAATTGATGTTTATGTGAATTAATGATTTTTTGTTTTTAAATAAATTGGTTAAGTACTGGTAAAGAGTTCATGCGGTGACGCGGCCTTAAAAACAAGGGTAATGGTTTATTGTAACGCGTACCGGGCGCTCCGTTTTTTGTTTCAAGACTATAGAAATACACAGATAATATTCCATCTAATCTCTAAAGCGAGGTTATTGAACCATACAAAAAAGACTAACGCCCAGTTTACAATGGTCTTCTTAATGATCAATTCAGAGTTAAACAAATCTTTTGGCAAATAACATTTGAAAGGGCCATTTGACAGCTGATTTGTTGACTTCTGCGATGATCACGCCCCGTTCCTGAAACACTGATCATCGTAGATGTCAACTAATCAGCCGTCAAATGGCTTTTCAAATTTCATTTTAGCTGCCAAAAGGACGGTTAAACTCTCTGAATTGACCAGAATGATCTTCTAATGATCAGAACGATCAATCCAAAGAGTTTAACCATCCTTTTGGCATACAAAAAATATTGCCAAAATCGATCCAGCCATTTGTAAGGATTCAGTCATATACACGCACGCAAGCGAGCAGGCGGTTTGCTGTTTTGGATCACCATGGACATCTGCAACAATTGAGGGGTTGTAGATGCTACCTCACTTGTCAGACAAAACGTAACTATAATACTTCCACTTCCCGCCGGTGTTTTTTGTTGTACTTTCCCGGACGGGCTTGTCTGTTCGTGCAACAGTAGAGGCTGTTGCGTGACCTTACCATGGCCGTGGTTCTCCTGCAAATTTGGCCACCAGTTTCTCTTACTCTGTGATGTACCAATCTTGTGTCGTACAAGTGTTTTGCGGGGAAAAAGCAAACAAAGTTATACTAGCCCATACAAGAGAAATAGAAGCCAGGGTTGTCACTTGGTGACTTCAGACCAGGGCATAACTTGGTTCGAAAAATTTAAAGCGGATCTTATTGCTGTTAAAGACAACATAATTGTACATGTTTAAACTTTCCCCGACGCATAGCCTTGTCAACAACGTAATACAAGGTTTAGCTGGAATAGAGAGTTATCGAATCATTTGGATTTATTTGTTAGTCTACGTTCGTAAGCGGGTGTTGACCTGTGGGCATTACGATTGTCGTCACGTCGTGAGGCAGCAAACTGGGAGTCAACTCGCTTACTTTTAGATTGATTCGTTGGATGGACGTCGAAGCTCGTGGGTTCGTTTCCAACAAGGGACAAGCATTTTTCTGGGCCACAGAACCGTTCCGGATCAGAGAGTTCGTCCACGTGAAATTTGTGGATGTAATGTCCTTACAACACAGGATAATTATGTTCTACAGCAAAAGCTATATAAAATAATTGTTAATCTCTTTTTTATTTTTAATATGGTAACAGACGGAGGTTTGCGAGGATGGTGCGAGGTAGTGATCTTTTTTGGCTGTCCACCCCACTAGCTTATACAGGATGTTACCTTTTTCGTTTTTAATCTCTCGACATGCGAACGGTTTATGTTGGACGGCTCTTGTATCTAGGACAATACTATGGGAATAAGTCGAAGTAGGGACTGGACCTACGGGTAGGAGTTTCGTTAGTGCCGTAGTCACCTAGCGCCATCTAGTAGCGTCACTAATCGGAATGAGTTTCATTTATTTCGATTATTTTTAATATCTAATCACAACTGCTTAAAATCTATATTGCATATTTCTTTATTATTTTTTATTATTATGTCGAAAACATGCAGGTTTCCATACGATGTTTTCCTTCACCGCTGAGCACGTGATAAGGCAGCACTTAAGTTAAGTAAGAATTTCGTTGGTGCCGGCACCGGGGATCGAACTTTGGTTGCTCTGGTACATTCAATTAAAAGGCGAACGCTCGGACACTGAGCTATCGCGGGTGTGCAGTTGCTTTGCACTTTTTATCAGAGTAACTAATCTCTTCGTTTACATTACGTGATCACGATAATAGAAAACACCTGTGGGGTTGCAGACGCGTTAATTACGTTTGAAATATCTCGCCCGGTTGCATCATGGGGTGTTACGCATAGGTAAATAGCTCCAGATTCGAATTCCGCTTTTACAGACATTGCGAGGTGGCTGGTCTTAACTTATACATTTTTCGTTGTTCGTGCCACTTCTGATTGATTCGACCGCTTGAAGTTGAATCAATCAGAAGTGAAAGGTCATATTCACAAAGCGTACTCGTCGAGGCAATGTTTTAGGTGTATAATAAAATGCTAATAGTTTTATTCCATTCAGCCTGCTGGCATGACACCTTCCCACATAAAAAAACGGCCAAGTGCGAGTCGGACTCGCGCGCAAAACGGCATATATTTCTTATTCTGTTTTTTAGTATTTGTTGTTATAACACCAACATAAATACATCGTCTGTGAAAATTTCAACTGTCTAACTATCACGGCTCATATACGGAGATACAACCTGGTGACGGACGGACAGACAGACAGACAGCGGAGTCTCAGTAAAACGGTCCCGTTTCTCCCTTTGGGTACGGAACCCTAAAAACCTGTTTCAAGAAAACGTTGCCTAAAGCGAATTTCCCCGTAATCGTTACAGCTATCGCGTTTTAAATGCGGGCTCAAGGGAAATAACCTTTACGGGCCAATCCGTCAACTTATCGCCGATATATGGACGAGATAATGCCTTAATTTCGTCGCGACTTGTGGACTGAGGGCTGTTTAATTTAAAAAAAGTAAAGTAACAGCCTATGGATGCCCCACTGCTGGGCAAAGGCCTCTGTAAAGAGGGTATCAGGACATAATCCACCACGCGGCCCCACTGCGGATTGGCGGACTTCACATATCTTCGAAATATATATTTTTATTATTAGTATTTTGAAAATATGTAGGTTTCCCCACGATGTTTTCCTTCGCCGCCGAGCACGTGATAAGCTGTTTAATTAAATTTAAATAAATTAAAACAGTGCTGTGGTACTTTCTACCGCGGCTACTCGTATATCAGTATATAGCGGAGACCTTTTCGGCGCATACATTTTTTTCCTCATTTATTTTTTCCTGTAATGTAATGCGCTCAATAAACATTTCTTTCTGTTTTTCAGTGTAGATCCATGATTACGTATTTGTTTTTCGTTTTGTTACCTGAGACTCTTACAGTTTTCCATATTATGTATGCACAATTTATTTGGCACAGTGATATGGCAATGTGGCAGCTGGTGTTACAAGAACAAATAATTTAAATAAATATTTAGGACACACTTTAACACTACGTTCTCTAGTCCCAAACTAAACGCTTGTACTATGGGTACTAGATAACTGATAAACATGTTTAAACATACTTTTGTTTTGTCAATAAATACATATATAGACACCCAGAGTCTAGAAAAACACTATATGTCCATCACACAATATTTTTCCAGTAGTGGGGATCGAACCCACACCCTCAGGCGCTAGAGACAGGTTCACTACCCACTACGCCAATCGGGTATCCAGGGAAGTACCAAGTCTCACAGAAGACCAGTGTGAAATGGAAGTATCATGGTTTCGCGTTTCGTCGGTTAGTGAGGTAACCGTTTTTACGGTGGTAGGGCCACGCAGCAGTCTCGGCTGTTGCACGAATGGGCAGGCTCGTCCGGGTAAGTACCACGACCTCACAGAAGACCGGCGTAAAGTGGAAGTATATTACTTTCGCGTTTCGTCTGGTGAGTGAGGTGGCTGGAGCCCAATTTCGAAAAGGTTGTCAACGCATCTGGAACCCTCGGGTGTAAAAGATGTCCGTGGGCGGCGGTATTCACTTAACATCAGGTGAACCGTCTGCTCGTTTGGCAACTTTTCGCATAAAAAAAAAAAACCGAGGCCCACGTTTGGCACATTATTGGCAACACGTCAATTGCTGTAGATGTGCACGGGCGGCCGTAATCACTTAACATCAGGTGAACTACCCGCTGGTGTGCCAACTTTTTTGTTTTTAAACCTTACTTTAGGATAACACCATCCTGTGTTGCAAGGACGTTTTTACGTACATAAATTTAACGTGGACAAACACCCAGATGTGAATCAACTATCTGCGGGTCGCACAAATAGTTGTCCCGTGTGGGAATCGAACCCGCGACCCCCACCGCCGAAGCCAATACCTTGGCGACTGCGCCACGGAGTCATCAAATTTTTTATATTTTAACGTAAAAAAAATGTATAAAAGACATTAATATCCATTGAGTTTCACAACAATTACAACGTAGTTCATTATGCTCGAAGCAACAGTGCAACAGATCTGAATTAGAAGAAGAAGAAGAAACGTTTATTCACGGTCTAAGCACAATAGATACATACAACACTTAAAAATAATGATGTAACTACACATTATGTAAAACAATATTAGAAAAACTTAAAATAAATGTAAACAACAAAAAAACAACAGTAAGTGACGTCTGTGTAGTAGCATAAGACCGTGAAACGGACGGGACTCGGTAAAAGTCGAGATACAGTAACTAAGATTCGTTCTGATCCCGACGCCGGTTTTCAGTCCGCCCGCACTTCGAGGCAACTCAGACGGCATTACGATGAATTACGAATAATAATTACGATGCTGTTGTTCAAAGCTTCAGCGAGTAGGCTTATCCTATTTATGGCAAGGTGGGGCATTAATCAAGCGCTATCCTAGCCAAACTCTGATAAAATAACCGACGAAGTGCGAGTCGGACTGGAGCACGATGGGTTCCGCTTCCGTACCATTATCTATAAAAACGGCAAAAAAATCTCTTGTATGAGAGCCCCACTCAAATATTTTTTTTTTTATTCTGTTTTTTAGTATTCGCTGTTATAGCGGCGGCTGAAATACATCCATCTGTGAAAATTTCAACCGTCTAACTATCACGGTTCATGAGATACAGCCTGACAGACGGACAGATAGACAGCGGAGTCTTAGTAATAGGCTCCCGTTTCACCCTTTGGGTACGGAACCCTTAAAATTACACACCCCGCTCCTTGCTCGTAAAGTTACTGTCGAAGCAGTATTCATCAAACGATAAGCGGACAAACATCGATAGCCGGCACGAATTATTGCATCTGTGTCCGATATCGGGAAACGATGATAACGCGCCAAGCCGAACGGTGCGCGATGAACTTGACCTTGTGCCAAATTGTCATATGCAAGCTGTTATATTTAAAGCAAGCTCGGTGTCCGGGCGCTAGCTATAAATTTAACACTTTCGTGACTCGAGCAAACTTTTTTTCGTGTAAGAAAATGGCAAACGAACTGGTGCTTCACCTGATGTTAAGTGATAACCGCCGCCCATGGACATTTGCAACACCCGTAGCCTTAAACCTTTAAATAAAGTGGGCCCCGGCTACCGCACTCACCAGACGTAACGCAGAAGTGTAACACTTCTACTTTACGCCAGTCTTCTGTGGGGTCGTGGTACTTACCCGGACGGACCTGCCCATTCGTGCAACAGTGTTGCGAGGCCCTACCACCCGGGTTGAATACCCGTTCAAATGCCGGCACCAATTGTTAAATGCGTTTTATAACATGCTCAGTGGGAGAGAAATCGTGGGGTTCCCCCACATTGCACACATTTTCAAAATAAAAACAGAAAAAATGGACTCGCGCGCGAAGGAAGTGTTCCGTACCATTATCTATGGAAACGACAAAAAACCATGTCTGTTGTTGTTGTATTGGGACCCGACTTAAATATTTTTTTAATATTATTCTGTTTTTTAGCATTTGTTGTTATAGCGGCATCATAACACCATATGTAAAAATTTCAAATCGCCAACTATCACGGTTCATGAGATACAACTTGGTGACAGACGGACTGACAGACAGACAGCCGGGTCTTAGTAATAGGGTCCCGTTTTAACCTTTTTTTGTATAGAACCCTAAAAATATTTCGAATATATGTGAAGCCGCTGATTCCCACAGGAATCGCGCGGTGGACTATGTTCTTTATACCCTCTACAGAGGAGGCCTTTACTCAGCAGTGGTATTATAAAGGGTGTTACTTTAATTTACTTTTGTATTAAATGAACTGTAGGACTCACAAATACTTGTTCCGTGTGGGAATACAACCTATAGCCACCGGCGCCATTTATTATAGGGCAAATAAATAAATAGACTATGCCCTGATACCCTCTGTACAGAGGCTTTTAACCAGCAGTGGTCCGCGGTGGGGGGCGTGGGGGACTATGCCCTGATATCAGGATCATATGTACAGAGGAGGCTTTTGCCCAGCAGTGGGACGTATATAAGCTGTTACTTTTATAAGTTCCTTCGAATGAAATGCCACACGTGCCGCAGGGGTGCCACACACTCGAACCTGGTGATCTGCGACCATACCGGCAAGGTGTGCGGCCAAGCAAAGGGCCCTGGGACCAACCACTGGGCCTTGGGCATCGAGACCTGCGCCCTGAGAATCATAGCGATGCTCCGGGAGGCGAAAAAAGACGCGGGCATCCCCTTCGACGTACCCCTAGACTCGTTGGTGAGTGTTTCTTCTTGCTCCCATCCACCAGTTCGGTCTATTGGAGTCTACTGCTCAGCATGGGCCTCTGCTCTGCCTACATCCATGGACCTTCCAGCACTTGCATACGTCGTCACTAAATGTAGCAAGGGTGGTCTAACTCTGCGATGCCTTTTGCTTCTTCTAAAATAATGAAACTTGACACTTTGTAGACAAATGTTAATATTATATTACTTTAAAGTAATGTGCCATAATATAATCGGCTTTATTATTTTTATTTGTATTGTTAGTGTTTAGTTATTTTGTGTTAGCATTTAGTTAGATATTCTAACCTTTTTAAATTGTTATTCATTTAATTTTATAGCCATCTATAAATGACCTCGTAAAATGTTTTTATGCAATTCGCAGGGATACACGTGGAATTACAATTTGACGTTGCACCTGCTTTGTACACATAGAGGGTTATTATTATCACCATAATTAGGCCCTGGTATTGATTTCGGTCATCCATTTATCGGACTCTCGATAAGAGAAGAATTATTGTCGTATTATTGTTCCGTTTGCGCCACTGACGCGTTTAGGCCAACGATAAACGCTCCAGTCCAGTAAAATAAATAAATATTAAAACACGTAGAAAAAGTACGAAAAGATTGTCGCCGCTGTGGGAATCGAACCCGCGTCTTCGGCATTCGCGGCCTGACGCTCTAGCCACTGAGCTACATGTTTTTATGTTCAATCTTAAGTGCACAGATTAGCACTATAAAAACTTTAAAAAATAAATAAATAGGAATTTTAATCACTTGGATGACTACGTGCCGCAGTTGCCAAGGTATCGGCTTCGGCGCTGGTTGTCGCGGGTTCGATTCCCACACTCGACGACTATTTGTGTTAACCACAGACAATTGTTTCAGATATAAGTGTTTCTCGGCGTGAAATTTACGCATTTAAAACGTCCTCACGGGATGTTATCCTACAATAAGAGATCAGTAATAGATCTTTCTAGGCGGCACCACAGATTGCATACCAAGCGATACCGGCAACTCGCGGAGCGGCCAGCCGGCAAATTGACCCCTGTTAGTTCCAATCTATCGCACTAGGGGCTGACGCTCTCCGGGTGCGAGCAGGACAGCAGCAACGCGGAGCTTGCCAGCCGCGTGCTAGAGAGGGACGGCAGTAGCGCGCGCGCTGTCTACGTCGCGTCCGACACGGCCGGCTCGTTGTTTACCGGAGCGCCCGAAGGCGGGATGGTGCTGATTGCTGGTGAATATTCTGATTGTGTTCGATGTTATTAACTAGCGACCCGCCCCGGCTTCGCATGGGTAAAATCCCTACTAATGTTATAAACGCGAAAGTTTGTATGTATGGATCGATGTTTGTTACTCTTTCGCGCAAAACTACTGTATGGAGTTTAATGAAACTACTATAATATAGCTTATACTTCAGAATAAGACATAGGCTATAATTCGTATACATATTTTTATGTTTATCTGTCTTTCTGTCTGAATGTTACGCCTTCAGCCTATTATATACATATACTAGCGATCCGCCCCGGCTTCGTACGGGTGCAATGCTGATGCTAAATATACTCTACATGTTTCTATACTATTTTAGGTATTATCTTAATAAGATGTACATTCAGTTGTAACATAAATTCATGTTTCATGTAATATTGTTTTTAATGTAACATCTACTGGCAGACCTAATAAATAAATAAATAAATACATATAAACCTTCCTCCAGAATCACTCTATCTAGTAAAAAAACCGCATCAAGATCCGTTGCGTAGTTTTAAAGATCTAAGCATACATAGGGACAGACAGACAGCGGGACGACTTTGTTTTGTACTGTGTAATCATGTTTCAATTGGTACTCCGTGATAGCTCAGTGTCCGGGCGCTCGCCTTTAGTTCAATATGCTCGAGCAACCGGTGCCGGCACTAATGAAATTGTTGATTTTAAGTGCCGACTTATCGCTGAAGGACAACATCGTGAGGAAACCCGAATGAATCTGAAGAAATATATCTAAGACATATGAAGTCTTCTAATGCGCAGTGGGCGTGTCGGACTATGCCCTAATACCATTTGTACAGAGGATATTTGTGGCCGGCGCACATTTAACGAGATTTATTCAAGCACTAGCCCTCACTGCCTACCCCATGAATGGTATAAGGCGCTAAACTTTTCTGAGATACTGCGGCACACATAGTTTGGTCGATACAAAAGTTAAGGTCGGACCAAGGGTTATCTGCCGACCTGGTTCCCGTTTCGCGTTTGTTTTGCGTCTCGTAACAAGCGCAAGGTCTTACGCGATGCGACGCAATTGATATACCCTTACGCTGTTATAGTACTACTAGCTGCCCGCCACTACGTTTTTTGTTATGTGAACAGTTGCCAAACGAGCAGACGGTTCACCTGATGTTAAGTGAATACCACCATGGACATCTGCCACATCCGAGGGCTTGCAGACGCGTTGACAACTTTTTTGGAAATCGGGCTCCGGCCACCTCGCCCACCAGACGAAACGAGAAAGTATTATACTTCCACTTTACGCAGGTCTTCTGCTGAGGTCATGGTACTTACCCAGACGAGCCTGCCCATTCGTGCAACAGCCGAGGCTACGTGCGTGGCCCTACCACCGTAAATATAGGTGAAATAGTTAACCCGTGTCAAGGGGATTCCCTGATGCGAAAGGTTTGGAACTAACTGGATGTTTTCGTTTTCGAATTTAAACTGTGGTAGGGCCACGCAACAGTGTTCGCTGTTGCACGAATGGGCGGGTCCGGCCGGGTTAGTACCACGACCTCGCAGAAGATCAGTGTAAAGTAGAAGTGTTACACTTCTGCGTTTCGAGTGGCGAGTGAGGTAGCCGAGGCCCATTTGCCTAAAGGTGGCAACGCATCTGTAACCCTACGTGTGTTGCAAATGTTATGTGAGTGAGGTGGCCGGTGCCAACTTTATTAAAAGGCAGCAACGCATCTGCAAACCTACAGTGTGTGCAAATGTCAATGGGCGGCTCGTTTGCCGCTATTTCACATAAAAAAAATGAATACGAGAAAAAAAATCGGACAAGCCGCCAATGTTAATTCGAGTCTAAAAAGAACCAGTTAGCTAAGGACGCCGAGCCAGTCGGAAATAATTATTATTCAATGTCGCGAGAAAACACACCGAAATCGGCAATTTCGATCGATCCGCACGCCGTATACCCGATGGTGCATGGATCGACACGTCGCACTTGCAATCCCGATGATACCGGTTCAAATTTCTACATCTTTCGTCTACAAATATATCTTTTATTCCGCACGGACACTGAGCCGCGATAGCGCAATGTCTTGGCGCTTGAACTTAAAAAGTTTACGTATATTAATAAAGTACTTTTATAATATTACTAGCTGTGCCCGCGACTTCGTCCGCTTGGAATTTAAAATAAAAAAAATTCTAAGCCTAAGTTACTCCTTATTACATCCGCTATCTGCCAGTGAAAGTCCCGTCCAAATCGGTCCAGCCGTTTCAGAGATTAGCCGGAACAAACAGACAGACAGACGGACAAAAATTTTAAAAAATATTATTTTGGTATACAGCGTGTCGTTACCATCGCGACAATAAATGAACACACATATAGGGGATAAGTTTTTAAAGTTGTATTAAACGTTTAAATTCTTTAAACATCAATATTTACAGAGTTTTTAAATTTTTCAAAACAGAGAATTTTAGAACACCCTTATCTATAAAAGCGTAACGTAAAGTTCATTTGTAAAGGTCACAAAGCATATGAATGGGTTGAATGAATTTAAAAGAGACAAAACATACTGTTAGAAGGAGAGGCTTGTAATACGACGCTGTGGCGCGAGTTGTATAGGTGTTAGAAATTTTGTTTCTTTTTTACTTAATTAGTTTGTTTGAAAAATATTTTTTTTAATTATGGATTTTGTTTTACGTTAATATTTTTTTATGATTATTGGCTCGTAGCGTTAGACGTGTGTTCATTTATTGTCGCGATGGTAACGACACGCTGTATGTACCGTGTATACATCCATATGTATTTAGTAAAAAGCGGTTATTTTAATATTACAAACAGACACTCCAATTTTATTCATCTGTATAGATTAACGACACTGTTATGTGAGCTGCATCAGCGTATTATTAATAATTTATGGCTCGAGAAGTCATAAACAAGAACTATACACGTGTATCAAGAGTTCCAATTATCACGCCATTACTATTCACAGGACAAACGCGTGTTGTTTCTTTATGTGAGAAAATGGCAAGCGAGCCTTTTTTAACTGTGGTACCACGCGACAGTGTTCCCTGTTGCACGAATGGGCAGGTCCGTCCGGGTACCACGACCTCATAGAAGACTAAAGTAGAAGTGTTACACTTCTGCGTTTCGTCTGGTGAGTGAGGTAGCCGGTGCGCACTTTATTTATTAAAGGTGGCAACGCATTTGCGACAATATAAATAAATAAAATAAAATAAAAATAGCCTTTATTACTACTACCAATTGAAACTTTTTTTAACATATGTATATACATACACACACATATATATATATATATATATATATATATATATATATATATATATATATATATATATATACTTTTTTTCTTTAATTTTTTTTTATAAAATATCAGTAATGGCAGTAGTCGCGTCGACGGCGTAGGCAGGCCTCTCCTAATTCTTCCCAGATTTTTCGATCACGTGCCTTTCGCATCCATAGGGATCCACATCTAAGGTTGAAGATTTGCGACAATAAGGGTGTTGCAAATGTCCATGGGCGGCGGTTATCACTTAACATCAGGTGGACCGCCAGCACGTTTGCCACTTCCTCACTTAAAAGAACCTTACCCGCCGGGCGAAACTCGGCAGTATAACAGTTTCACATCACTTTTTGTTGCTTGGTTTTCTTTAGTAATGTCGGCGTTGATATCTCCCAGGTACCGGCTCCAATGCTCTCCTCCGCACCGCTGACGGCAAGCAGTACGGCTGCGGAGGCTGGGGCTACCTCCTCGGCGATGAAGGTGGTGGTGAGTAGTAGCTTTTAGCTAAAGCAGTCCCCGAGGAGGTGAAGTAATGGTTGAGGACACCGTGGCGCCGTTGCCAAGGTATTGACCTCGGCGGGGAGCCTGGATTCGATCCCCACGCGAGACAAATATCCGTGTGTAATGATTTCTTGTGTTTACGCGATTACACGTCTTCAAAACTGATTTCAAGACTGTATTTGTTTGTTTGTGTAACGGATTTATCGCGTTTATTTTTCGTCCATTCTGCGTGGATCGACGCAAAGTTAATAAATTAAAAACTGACGGTAGCCCAGAACTATGACATTCAGACGTCCAATGACTCAGGCCCGGTTTCAACACTGATCATAGTAGATGTCAACTAATCTGCTGTCATATGGCTTTAAATATTTCATTTTAGTTGCCAAAGGAATGGTTAAACTCTTTGAATTGATCATTCTGATCGTAAGGTCAATCAATCTGGTCAATTCGGATAGTTCAACCACACTTTTGGCACCTCAAATAACATTTGAAAAGTCACTTGACAGCTGATTAGTGACCATGAACGTTGCAAACGGTTCGAAACTTCGGGAAATGATATCTTATTTTATTTATTTAAACAGGCTTACCGACTAAATACTTAAAAAGAGCGAATATCCTGATATGATGCACTTAAAAATTAATTTAATTTATAGGTAAACACATCGAATAAATTACCTCATTTAAGGAAAACAGTAACCTACAAAATGAGCAATAGAATAAGTTATGAAAATAAAAAAAATAAAAACATTGCTTATTTAATGTACAGATAGAAAAAAAGAGGAAAGAGAAAATATAATAAAAATAAGAGCGATAAATCCGTAAAGACTCTATCCTAAAATTGAATTTAATATTCGTGTTTCACTAAAACTGGTAGAAAAAGTCGGGACAGTTCGCGATTTTTACACGCCTCAGATACTAATTTAAAAAAATTCAGTCACAAACGTGTTTTATCTCTAACTTTATTGTAATTCGTTTTAAATTACCCACTTGTGACAATGTTACATAATTTCCTTGCATAATTGATTTTTCCGCTCCAAAGTAAGTACCTTTCGTCACGTAGTTATCGTTAAACTGTCAACAGATTAAAACACGACACGTGTTCGGCACAGATAATAAGAATGTAACATAAGACATTTTTAATTCGATACACTCGAGCAACCCGAGTTCGATCCCCGGTGCCGGCACCAATGAAATTGTGGATTTTAAGTGCTGACTCATCACGTGCTCAGCGGTGAAGGAAAACATCGTGAGGAAACCGTTTCCGTTTCCGAAATTTGATGACTCCGTGGCGCAGTTGCCAAGGTATTGGCTTCGGCGTCAGGCGTCGTGGGTTCGAACCCACACGGGACAACAACTATTTGTGTGACCCACAGATAGTTGCTTCGCATCTGGGTGTTTGTCCGCGTGAAATTTATGTTTGTAAAACGTCATTACAACACAGGGTAATATTATCGTATAGTAATGGCAATGTTTTTAAAAAGAAAAAAAAATAAAAATAAAAAACCTTTCGAAATAATAAAAAAAATATTTCGAAGATATGCGAAGTCCGCCAATCATGTCGTCTAAGGGAAGCAGTGGGTTATCCCCATTGTAACACAATGGGGTCGTGTGGTGGACTATGCATGCCCTAATACCCTCTGTACGGTTGAGGCCTTTGCCCAGCAGTGGGACATACATAGGCTGTTACTTTACTGACATAACACAGATAAAAAGTATATTAGTATATGTAAATACACGAATAACGAGCATGCAACATTGACATGCCAATACTTTTCGTAGCGATAAAACTAACGTGACACGTGTAAGCTATCAACTTTTTAAGCAATAAGTAGGCTAATGTCTAGACTTTAATAGCATAGTAAAAACGTGTGTTTAAATATAACGTATCTGGCAATGAAGTTTTGGCGCATTACCGCGAGAGGAAAAACACGTCGATACCATTTTAATTGTTTAACAGATAAATTGTAATCGATACAAGTTTTGGCGCTTTGCCACGTGAAGTAAAACACGTCGATAGCATTGTAATTGTCTAACAGATAAATTGTAAATGATTTTATAGTTTTCACTGTGGTAGGCCCACGCAGTAGTTTCAGCGGTGGACTATGCCCTAATACCCTCAGTATAGAGGTCTTTGCCCAGCCGTGGGACATGTATTATAGGCCGTTGTTTTAATTCTTCTTCTTCTCATACCCTACTATACCCGACGTCCTATGCCCAGCAGTGAGACATAGGCTGTTGCTTCAGTTTAGACCCAACCTCCCCAGCGTACTGGATAGCCCACAAGGCCGTGAAGACGGTCTTCGACGACGTGGACGGCCTCCGCCCCTCCCCCCACCCCACGGACAGGGTCTGGGAGGTGATTAAGGAGCACTTCGGCGCCGAGACCAGGGCGGACTTGCTGCCCCACGCGTACAAACACTTCGACAAGTCCCACTTCGCCGGTGAGTATGTTTATACAGCGGGTATTTACAATCGCGACAATAAATGAACACACATATAGGGGATAACTTTTGAAAATTGTATTAAACATTTTACGTTCTTTAAACATGTTACGACAACATTACAGAGTCAACATTTACATAGTTATTAAATTTTCCAAAACAAAGAATTTTAGAACACCCTTACGTATAAAACTGTAACGTAAAGTTCATTTGTAAAGGTCACAAAGCATATGCATGGGTTGAATGAATTTGAAAGAGACAAAACATACTGTTAGAAGGAGACGCTAGTAATGCGACGCTGTGGCGCGAGTTGGATAGAAACATTTATAGGATGTTATAAATTTTGTTTCTTTTTTACTTAATTGGTTTGTTTGAAAAATATTTTTTTTAATTATGGATTTTGTTTAACCTTAATACTTTTTTTATGATTATTGGCAAGTAGCGTTAGCGTTTATCATTTATTGGCGATGGTAACGACACTCTGTATATATAAACTAGCTGTTAGCCGCGGCTTCGCCGGTCAAAGGAATTAGCAATGAGTTTTTCATTATACACCGGAATAGCTCGCAGATGGCAGAATTTTTACTACTTACTCTACACTTATCGTGATATTTTGGACAATTCACAGAATATCTTTATAAATTATAGCTCATGTGTTACTCTGATGTATAATATTATTGTAATGTTTTATTAAAATCCATTCAGTAGTTTTTATGTGAAAGAGTGACAAACATGCATACATACAAAATTTTGCGTCTGTTACACCATTATACATCCTGGAAATCGCCTACACTGTAACCACGCAGCTGCAACATTCTATTCTCAAGGGATTGATTATTCCGTTCTACGTGCCGTCGCCCATGATCCCACGGAAACGATGTGGTCACACTACACAGCGAGCGTCACTTTTGTCTCTCACATCGAGCAACTGTCAACTGTCACACCGGAACTCATTTTTAGACCTAAGCAAATATGGGTTAAAGGAAACAAACAACTCTGGACTTTGTACTAATTAATAATTACTGGTGATTGTTAAATATTTCCCAATGTTTATCTTCAATTTAACATTAAAGTAAAATTGGTCACAAAATAGTGTAAATGTTACAAAGATTGATGATGCGGTCAACCTGAAGTTAAGTCAATATTGCCGCCCATGAAAATCTATTACAACATCTGAGCGCTTTAACCTGAGGGTTATCGATAAAATCATCGATGGCCATCGTCCACTCACCATTCACCGGCGACATAATGCGACAGAGCCCTAACTTATCGATAAAAGCATCGATGGCTGTCATCAACTAATCGCCGATCTTTGGCTATATATCGCCATTGGGCTCTAACTTGAGGGTTTTCGATAAAAACTTAAATGGCAGTCGTCAACTCATCACTCACCGGCGACGTTACGCGACAGGACCCTAACTGTGACAGGGCTCTAACTAGATAGTTATCGATAAAAACATCGACTGCTTTCGTCAACTCGTTCACTTATCGTCTGCGAGATACCGCGACAGGGCCCTAACTTATGATAAAATCATTGCAATCGTCGTCAACTCATTACTGAGCGTGGGCGACAGGGCCGTAACTTATTGAAAATCGTCGCCAACCCATCACGCATCGCGACAGGCTTGACGGCGAGGCTGTCGCGGCTCGCGGCGGCCGGCGACGAGCTGAGCGCGCACCTGTTCGCGTGCGCGGGCGCCGCGCTGGGCGCGCACGTGGCGGCGCTGTGCGCGCGCGCCCGCTCGCCGCGCGTGCGCGTGGTGTGCGTCGGCTCGGTGTGGCACAGCTGGGCGGCGCTGCGGCCCGGCATGCTGGGCCAGCTGCGCCACAGGCAGGTCGGTACCGACCCTCCGAGGTCCCGAAACTGGACCGGAAACGTCCTCCCCAAATGCGCTTCCCGCGATTTGCTCGAAGCCCAGACCTTTGCAGCGCATTGATTGGCGGGAAAAAAGCAAATGATTTACGCTATTACCCGCTCACACAACTGGCTCACATAGCCTGGAGCGTGGCCTGGAGCTAACAGGCTAACAGGGCTTTCGAGCAATTCTTTACAAGGGGGCTGTTGCAAATGTCCATGGGCGGTGGTCACCAGAACGCCAGCCCTCTTGCCACCTTCTCACGTAAAAAACCCAACCCCACAGGTGAGCACCGAGCTGGAGCTGGTGCGGCTGCGCGTCTCCAGCGCCCTGGGAGCGGCCGGGCTGGCCGCCCGCCACGTGCACCGCCACCTGCCACGGGACGACCGCGCCTTCTGCGACGTGTTCTACACCTACCAGCCGACGGCCACCGACGACGACCACCCCAACGACCACTCCAACGACCATACCAACGACCACTCGAACGGCCACCCCAACGGCCATCAGAACGGCCTCCAACGCGGCTGCGGCTGCTCCGGCTGGGGCGACTGGAGCCAGTGACGTCGCTTGCTCCATACGCACCGGCGACTGCAGGTAGTGACGTCACGACAGTGTCGTCGCGGCCGCGGTCGCTACGCGTCTGGGTGACGTCACACCTTGCAGCGCACCAACGCGTATGGAGCGACTGCAGCTGGTGACGTCACAGCGGACGTCGCGGCCGCGGTACGCTATCCGTCGGGGTGACGTCACGCCCTCACTTGCGCCTCGGTGACGTCACGCCTTGCACTACACATGGGTCATCTATCCAAAGCCAATATACCACTTTTAAGTTGTAGATTTGGTACTAATCAGTGTTAGATTTGTGCATTATTTTCTGCCTAACCGGTAGAGAAGGATTGAGGGGATGGGGTTACCATTATATTTGGTACTGGTTTATAAAAAAAAACTATATAGTTTTTTTGAATATACCAGTACCAAAATTAACACATGTTAATAATAAGTTTTACTAATTATCTGAATAACTTACATATAACCATTTCTAAGTCGGTCATCATGTCTCAATGTACGACAAGACCTTAGATAAATAGTCATGAAATATTTTTGCAATATATTATATTGTTAAACGATAATACTTCTAACATAATATGCAAAAGGTAACAAAACAAATACAAAAAAGATTACATATGAAACAAGTGCCAATCTCCTTTTAATTTCTTTTCGAAATTAATCATAGCAGAATTGTGAATCCAAATGTAGTGCTAATCAACAATTATCCAACACTTAACATAATCTGATGAAAGACTTAAAAGCATAGGCTAAAACACTGAATCTAACACAAACATTTAACATTTCTAAGCAAAATGTGATCTTCAGATGTTGAGTCTCCGACATCTAAATAGTAGGGATGGAGTTGTAAAAATTATATTATTAATAAGTGGACCAATTTAAACATTATATTAGCTTATTACAAGTGTTAATTGTAATTTGTAGTCTTCCAATTTATATAGAGTTTTGTAAGATGCCTTATAATTGACATATGAAAAGTAACCGATAATTCCGTTTAATTTCCCTAATAACTCCTTGACAACACATATCTCTGTATTATGATTAAAAACGCATGTTTTATTTAATATGCAGAAACAAATCATACATAAAAGTTGATTTTCTTTTAGGGGTGAGCAAATAATTTTGCAGATTTATTAAGCACAATATATATTTTTAATGTTTAGATAAAAAACAAGACTATTTATAAGTTTATATATACACGGATGCTATCAAAACCAGTGTATGGTTGTTTTCAAATATTTTTAAAGTACTTTTGTGATTACAGAATGTCATTATCTAATGTCGGATCTGTTAATTATGTCTACTTTATGTCTAGATTAAGATGCAACGCTGTAAGCGTCATTAACTGCTTCACGCAGAGACATTAGTTAGAACTTAACTACGCTATAAATATTATCCCCACACGGGACAACTATTTGTGTGACCCACAGATATATATAAACGAGCAATTATTGTATATATATATATGTATATATATATATATATATATAATCGGAATCTTGGAAACGGCTCCAGCGATTTTCATGAAATTTAGTATGTGCGTAGATTCGCGGGCGAAAAATCGATCTAGCTAGTTTTCATTTTTAGAAAATGTCCTATTATCCCTGTTTTCGGGGAATGAAAAATATCGCTCGAATGCCAAATTTCACCACGGAAAAAAATGTTATAATAGCTCGGTCGGTAATCGGACGGCCCCAAAACAGACGGCCGTGGTTCGTGTCACGATCATTTTCACACTTATTTCTTACTTTTTTTTGTCGATCCAGATGATATCCGTATTTTCCGTTTTTTTTAAACTTCTCTCTTTTGTGAAAAACACCTTATAAAATATCATATTTTCGTATTATTACGTCGGTAAGATCGAAAAATATTATGGATATTTCATTACTCAGTAATTTGTATACAAATGTAATTTCCAAAATACACGATTTACCAAAAAAAAAAAAAAAGCGAGCAAAGCTTGGTCCTCCAGGTACTTTTTGTAAAACGTCCTTACAACACAGGATAATGCCACAATAAGAGACCATATCCGAATTGAGTGTTTTCTTGTTTTAGTTTTATGGATCCATAAGTACGATCACTTAAAGATCAATAAGTTCAGTTGTAAAGAAATGCTAATTGATGTCTCTGAGTTCAGCCATAAGAAGTTAAATTGTATAATTAAGTAGTTTATCTATATCTAAGATCTGAATAGTTTACATTTTTAAGGTAAATTGATAATTATCAATGTAAAGTGACATTTGGTTTCGCTTCTCTAGATTAAAACGAGAATTTCAGTTCTAATATGCTCTGTAACATATAGGTTTATCCAAAAATCTGGAGCCTTTGAACATATGTGTGAAAGAGATAGCGCTAGATGTCATTGGCAAAAATTAATTATGTTGTTTTTGTATTTGTCGATAATGTCATAAATCAATGATGAAGAATTTCATAGAAAATAGATTTGTCCAAGGGAATAAGTATTTCATATTACGTACTTTGTACGAGTACATAGTACAATCCGTTTTACAGTATACATAAATATACCAAAGTAATGAACAGAAAACGTATGCATACGGCGCCCCAAACTCAAATAGAAGAGGAGAGTTTTCTCTCGCTCCCACTATACGTTGACGTACAGTTGCGAACAACGTCGTCATATGACTTTGTGAATATACATTTTAAAATTTAAGGTAAGGTCTTTTAACTGTGTACTCTGATGTTTTGCACGCGACTGTACTCGCGCGTGGTAAATTTCGTTTAGGCCGATTTGAGTTTTGCGAGATCAATATCAATAGATGTGATATTTCGACACACTTTTGTTCTGGTTGCATAGAATATTTTATTTACGATATAGGGAAGTTAATTTATCGTTTATATTTATTAAATAGTTCCTAATTTCATTCTTAAGTGAATTAAGAATATTTTTGTTTACTTATTGCAAGTGGCAATACCCGATCTGAAATTGTTAAAACACAAAACTACAATATGGATTTGATTTGATGATATTACAATATAGATCTTAATGCCATTTGTGATCAACTTCAAACATTTTACAAATTTTTATCTTATATTTTAAACGGTTTAAAGCGTGCTTAAAAATATTTTTGGTTTCGTTTGGCGAGTCATAATCATTGTCAGACTCCTGGAGTAGAAGAGAGATTTTTATGGAGCCCAAGTCAAGATAATAACAATATTTTATTTTATAGTCATCTCTAGTTCATTTATAGTTAGTCATAATTTATGTATTTTTCGATTATCTACATATTGAATTTAAAAATATGTTGCTAGACAATCTATGTAATTGTAAATAGACAGCAATGTTAGTATTAAGAAGTAATTTTCTTTGATACATTGCCAGATACATGTTTATTTGTTGTTGACAGAGGAAGTTTTTATTTTCATATGTATTTTGCAATATGAGTTGCAATGTGAGGTTTTGAATAAAATATGAGTTATTAATGACTCAATAAAATATGTCAATATTTATATTAAAGTGATCAATGACATTTATTATTAAATGAAATTCCATTCTTTATTTCGTGAATAAACTATTAAAGATGCTTGACTTCTTTGTTAATTAAGTTCATCAACATCATCATCCTTCTGCCCTTATCTTATGTGAATCATGTTGTACGCGGTTTTGGCTATGCTTTTACAACTGGCCGGCTTCTTGACGTCAATCCTTGGGAAACACACCCAGATCAGGAACAATTACCTGTGGGTCACACAAATACTTATTCCGTGCGGGAATGGTACCCACGACCCTCGACACCAAAGCCAATTGCTTAGCTTAATTAAGTTATCTATGATAAAAAAAAACTAAAACTAATTTGGCGTCGACTATGTATGGGGCTTTCATTTTCAACTTATTAACAACGGCTTTAGTTGGTTAATAGCTGCCCATTATGGTTCAAACACCGGCGTAAGCTGGAAAATATCTAATTGTTTTTGTAAAAATATACTTTATTTTTTTTAATATCCTTATATCGTTTTAGAATTAGAATTACAGTTCCAACACATTTTGGACGTTGCTCACCCAACAGCAACCGCTGTAATGTTGCGAATATGGTTGTAATAATTTCTTTTATAAAATTTACTTTTAGTCAAATAATTCATCTTTCGTTAAAAAGGAATGCGGAGATGAAGCGTATCGAACGGGAGCATTGTATATTCGTCGTGCACTAGTAATGTTGTTATCCTGATTCCTTTTCCGATGAAGCTGACGAAGCCACCGGGTTAGCTGCAAACTAAACTATAACAAAAATTATAATAGGGTTCCATGAAACTTTTCTCTTATTTTATTTGTTTACCGTATTTTAGCCATTAAGTCGTAGCATTTGGAATATCTAGGCTGGCGTTGGTTTTGATATCTGAAAAGTATTATGCTTAGGAGAGATATTAATTGCGTGCGAAACTAATATTCTAGCTAGCATTTTGATCTATGATCTAAACGAATTCATGCACTCAATAAATTACAATCGTAGATATTTTTATTGTAATTAGAAACATGTAACAGTAACACTTGTGTTTTTTAGCATATTCCTTATAACAGAGCTATATCACGACAACGGCTATGTTGCTCGTTATAATGTTTTCACCACGTTTCGTCATTGCCTCGCTAATTTATACTCTATGTTATTGTCATTAAATCAATTTCATAACAAAGTGTCATTCGGTGCAAAATGTCATTGGCGCGGGTTCTAACGAGATTTCTAAATATAAAACCAATTTTAAATATCAATTACAGGTGTTCATATCGAGCTTTAACAATATGTAGCCATGGAAAGAGAGAAAAAGGCAGTAATTATTATATAAGCGGAATATTAGCAGTTGCCGCTAGTGTTATAGGTTATGTGAGTTTTAAAGAGAAATTATTCGCCGCGACAATCGTAAACGACAGTTTAAAAGGCAGAAGAGAAAAGTATAATTTTATAGCCGACGTTGTTGCTGTTTCGGCGCCTTCTGTTGTGTATATAGATATCAAAGATGGGAGAAGACTCGATTTGTACACTGGCGAGCCCCTTACGCTATCCAACGGCTCTGGTTTCGTAGTAAAGGAGGATGGATTAATTTTAACAAACGCTCACGTAGTTGTTAATAAGCCCAACGCTAAAGTTGAAGTAAAGTTAATAGTGAGTAAACATTTTCGATTAACTTCTTGTATGAAGTCAATTTCACACATAACATGACTGAATGGGGTGGTTGTGAGTTAGAGTTTGCAATTACCAATAACCTTCCTGATCAATGTATTAATAAAATTTGGCTGCTATGAGGATAATAACAATATTAGCCAAATTATATGATACTGGATAAAATAATTTTATAATCTTATCAAAGTTACCTCTTATCATTTGCTTGAGAACCATTTTTCAATGAATGTAAATTACATTTTTCTAGCATGTCAACTTCCCACTTCCTTCAGTATATATTTTTTCACTGTAAATTTATCCTTTATTTGTTTGTGTAATTATACAAATATAATCAAAAATATAAAACATTATAATAAAAAAGACTAAACACATCCACATGGAGTAAGTGCCAACTAGTTTCGGGTCTAGAGTGGAATGACTTTGTGGTTGTGGATGAGTTTAGCAATATTTATTATTTAGATAATAATGTCTCATTAAAGTTTTAATAATTTCATTAACAACATCTTTAACTATAATAAGAATGTGCTAGTTGTTTCATAAACATTAAAAAATAACCATCATAGATATTATTTTTTACCCTACTGCCAAAGGTGGGTTTTGCCAAAGTGTGTGGGTGGGGTTTTTTACACAGTTATAATTGGTAGAACAGAGCTAATTTTCTACCTATACATAGTATAGTTGAATATTGTCATTTATACTACTTTTCCATGTGTGAACTCTTCAGGACGGCTCTACACATGAGGGAGTGGTTGAAGATGTGGATCTCAAATCGGATTTGGCAACACTCCGAATTCCCGTTAAAAACCTGCCTACAATGAAACTTGGATCATCGGCAGACATCAGGCCAGGGGAATGGGTGAGTGGTACTAATGTTCCTAAGTTTTCCTCTTTTTCTTTTAAAAAGAGTAAGGCATAACTAGTTTAAGATGTTTGGAATCTAATACGTCCGGACTGTAACAAAACAAGTACGTACTATGATGTAAATACCAATAGATTCACATAATTTAAGATTATAAATATTTGAAGATGACAGAAGCATTAAAAGTGTAACAGAAAGATGGTAGCAAACAATCTATCAAGACTACATTATGCGAATAACAATGGGCGGTGGTTATTACTTACCATCAGGTTAACCGCCAGCTAGCTTGACACCTCGCATAAAAAAGACGTTTTACAGGTGGTGGCTATGGGCAGCCCACTTGCTTTAAGCAATACGGTGACGGCGGGTGTTATAAGCTCAACTCAAAGGGGCAGCGAAGAGCTGGGCTTGAGAGGTATGTATGTATACATCATCATTATGATGATCATTCCCCCACACACTCTCAGACCGCCTATATGCATATATAGTCTGGTATCTAGTGCCATTGATCCAGTTCTTGCCATTTATCTTTTTGGTTCGATTCCACATGATGCATTGTCGGTTCCACCTAGAATTGGATAAGGCACTCACTGCTAGGCAAAGGCCCCACTGCCGATTGGCCGACTTCACAGACCTTTTTCCAGTGTCTGGGTTTTTTGTTATATTTTTTTAATTTTATTTTTAAAACATTGCCCTTACTTTAGGATTATATTATCCCGTGTTGTAAGGACGTTTTACAAACATAAATTTCACTCGGACAAACACCCAGGTACGAAACAACTGTCTGTAGGTCACACATAGTTGTAGCGTGTGCGGATCGAACCCACGACCCCCGACGCCGAAGCCAATACCTTGGCATGAAGTCATCGGACATGGAGTTTTTATATGTATAACATTTATTTATTCATTTAATTTATGTACACAAAGAATTATGACAGAAATGTAAATACATGAAAGAATTTGTACAAAGGCAAATATTTATTTACAAAAGAAAAGCACGTTTAAGTATGTTTATCGGTTATCTGTTACCCACAGAACAAGCCTTGCTTAGTTTGGGAGTAGAGAATGCTATATAAAAATGTGTCATTATAATCACCGTTGAATTAAATGAATGACTCCCACAGGCAAAGACATGGTGTACATACAGACGGACGCCCCCATCACGTTCGGCAACAGCGGCGGGCCCCTGGTGAACCTGGACGGGGAGGCGATCGGCGTGAACAGCATGAAGGTCATGTCCGGGATATCCTTCGCGATCCCCATCGACTACGTGAAGGACTTCCTGTCCAAGAGTGGGTTTCTCACCATGTTCAAGTGTAGTAACATGTAGGCTACATGTGCCTCGCTGCACTGCACTCTTCCGACGACTCGTAACCGGATATTGTATGGAAGGGGTTTGGTTATGTGCCACTCCGCCAACCACTGCAACCTAGAAGAACTGTGTATTTAGCCCTCTCTTCGAAAACACTGGCTCCTTACTCGGATGACATTATCCTGTGTTGTGGGAGCGTTTCACATACATAAATTACACGCGGCCAAACGCCCAGATCCGAAAAAATTATCTGTGCGGCGCACAAATAGTAGTCCCGTGTGGGAATCGAACCCACGACCGCTTGCGCCGAAGCCTTGACTTGGCAACTGCGTCACGGAGTTATCAGTCTGACGACTGACGATTGGCGTAATGGATAGTGTACCTGCCTCTTGCCAGAGGGTGTGGGTTCGATCTCCACTATGTGGAAAATATTTCTATTATTATAAATTATTGTCTGGGTGTTTATATATCTATATTATGTATTTATTTACAAAAGAAATAAAAATCTATGTTTAAGTATGTTTATCAATTTTCTAGTACATGTGACTAGAGAACGCTGTGTAAACATGTGTCCAAAAATATTTATTTGTTTGTTTGTTTATTTATTTCTCACAGGTAAGCCGAAGCCGCCACCGGTTTCGAAGCGATACCTCGGCATAACAATGCTGTCTCTAACACCCAACATACTGATGGAACTGCGAGTGAGAAATCCAGAGGTTTGTTAGTATTTGTGCTATCAATAAACAATCACTCAAACTCAAATATCTTCATCCAATACTAGCTGTGTCCGCGACTTCGTCCGCGTGGAATTATATTACATACAGGGTGAAAATGAAATCATTAGCATCCTTTTAAACTAAGACCCTATTATACATTTTCTCTTATTATAAATTTTCACAGATGACTCAAATACAACAGACATGATGTTTTTGCCGTTTTTATACTTATTGGTACGGAACCGTTCGTGTGCGAGTCTAACTCGCACTTGGCCGGTTTTAGTACATGTTGTAAACGTATCAGTAAGCCATCGGGTATTTCATGTCCATGTCATCACTTAACATCAGGTGAACTGCCAGCTCGTTGTGTTTTTGTAAAAAGTTGCCAAGCAAGCAGACGGTTCACCTGATATTAAGTGAATACCGCAGCCCATGGACATCTGCCACACCCGAGGGTTGCAGATGCGTTGACAACATTTTAAAATTGGCTTCCTGCCACCTCACTGACCAGACGAAACGCGAAAGTATTATACTTCCACTTTACACCGGTCTTCTGTGAGGTTACCTGGACGAGCCCGCCCATTCGTGCAACAGCCGAGGCTGCTGCGTGGCCCTACCACCCCGTTTGCCACCTTCTCGCATAAAAACAAAATAATAATAATGCCATTTCGCCTTTCCAGTTGCCGACCGACATCAAACACGGAATCCTGGTCTGGAAGGTCATCATAGGTTCACCGGCCTACAAGTGAGTCCACGCAATTAGAGCTGTGGAAAGAATTTTTTTAACCTACTTAAAAAAAAGGAGGTTTCTCAATTCTTTTTGTTCGCGGATAACTTGGTCGTTTATGAACCAATTTTGATGATTCTTTTGTTGTCGTGAAGAGGATATCCCAAGGGTGGTGATAAGGATAACCCGGATCGGATAACGGCATCCCAGAGAAATCGAGTCCTTCAGAGAATTCTTGAATGTTATAGACATTGAAAATGTTTTTGTTTTGTTAAAAATTATTATTGGAGGAATACGTTTCTGAAGGCATGGCTATAAAAACGAAAGAACGAAAGAAAGAAGAATTTCATTTATTGTAATGATATTTTAAAATGATTTATGACTAAAAGATATTTGTTTCATACAGAAATATGTAATTATCTTAAACCTGGTATTTTGCCCGCAACCACTTGGCGAACCATTCCTAAATTACTCAGTTGATTTTATTATTCTCAGTTCTTTGACTAGAATTTTTATTTAAACTAATTCTTTAAAGACATCAATTCAAATCAAACCAGACTTCGAATTTATGTTGTCAATGAATTACTTGAAAGCTTTCCACCATTGCACTTAAAAAAAGATTTTCCGTTTCAGAAATGGATAACTCTATTATTTAACATTAGACACTGCTAAATAGCACGTGCTCAGCGGTGAAGGAAAACATCGTGAGGAAACCTGCATATTTTTAAAATAATAACAAAAAAAAAATTTCGAAGAAATGCGGAGTCCGCCAATCCGCAGTGGGGCCGCGTGGCGGACTAATTCCTGATGCCCTTTGTATAGAGGAGGCCTTTGCCCAGCAGTGGGACATGTATAGGCTGGTACTTTACTTCTACTGCTAAACGGAAAACGTTCTAAAACAGTTACGATCGGGCATCGAACCCACCGACTGCGTTTCGGGTGCGAGCCTCCCGTTTTCTGAGCTATTGGGGCTAATGTCTTTGTATATCCACAGTGGCGGCTTACAACCCGGAGATATCGTCACCACCATCAACGGGAAACCGGTGTATAGGTGAGTTGCATCATGTGATCTATTTCGTTCTTTCTAGATCTTTCTAGATTAAAATCATTCATAGTATTGCGTTTGTTCTGTTGATTGTGGTAAATAATAATAATTGAAACATTTAATATTAATTCTGGGTCGAGGTAAATTCAATTGTATAGAAAATATTTGTTGTTGACTCATGTATTCTTTATAATATAGTTTGCGAAATTTAATAGAATACAATGTGATAATATTTATTGGTGAATGGTATTTTATTTGAAACGACGCATAATTTCACTCTTCACACTTCACAATCTTTTATTTAAGCCAATTGTCGATAGATGGCATTATGATTAATACTTTAGAATGAAGTTTTTCAACGAAACTTTTGTATGAAAACATTATTTTTATTCTATTTAAGTCAGCGCAAAAGCTTTTAAGTTGGTGTGTAAAACGTGTATACGTAAAATTTGATGAATAATTATAGAAGTTATAGTTATATCGAACGGTTCACCCTCTTCCAGCGCTGGCGACATCTACACCCTTCTGGAAGGTTCCACCGGCCCCCTGCAGATGGCGGTGGTGCGAGGCCAACAGCGGCTGGTCCTGGCCATCATTCCTGAGGTCCACTGACGGCAGACACCAAAATCTACAGTGGCCCCAATTAGAGCTATAGCCCATTGTAATAAGATCGAAAAACGGATAACCAGCGCAAGGTAAAACACCCCAGTGCCGCACAATTGTGAACCTTATAATGTTGGAATAATTTTGATAAGCGTTAACTAAGAACCGAACTCTACAGTAGACCCAATTAGAACTATAGGGCATTGCAATAAGGTCGAAAAACGGATAACCTGCGCAGAGTATAACACCCCAGTGCCGCACGAATGTGAACCTTATACAGTTGCATTAATGTCGATAAACGTTAACTGACAACCGAAGTACACAGTAGACCCAATTAGAACTTTTTTCACAGCGTCTTCGATATCATTGCAATGATATCGAAACCGCTGTGCTCAAAACACCCCACTGCCGTACGAATATGATGTATTGCAATAATGTAGATAATCTTTTACCTAGAACGCCGCAACCCATAATACTATATCATCATCATCCTCTTGGCCTTATCTTCCTATGGGGACATGAATCATGCTGTAAGCTGCTTTGGCTATGATATTATGACCGGTAGCCCGCCTAAAGTAAAAACCCTCCTGTGGGCCATAAAAATTTACACCGAAACCGATAGCTTACCAACAACGCAACCAAGTCATCACATACTTCATAATAATTAATACTACATAATAATTTAAAATTATAAATTTTCCCTGACACTAAAAAATAAATAGTACTTTTCACAACGGATGTTAAAAATAACTGTTCAGTACCATTATATAGTAAGGTAGAAAAGCAACCGCTTCCTTAAGTAACGGTGGTAGGGCCACGCAGCTGCCTCGGCTGTTGCACGAGTGGGCAGGCTCGTCCGGGTAAGTACCACAACCTCACAGAAGACCGGCGTAAAGTGGAAGTATCATACTTTCGCGTTTCGTCTGGTGAGTGAGGTGGCTGGAGCCCAATTTCCAAAAAGGTTGTCAACGCATCTGCAAACCCTCGGGTGTAGCAGATGTCCATGGGCAGCGGTATTCACTTACCATCAGGTGAACCGTCTGCTCGTTTGGCAAGTTTTCGCATAAGAAAAAAGTAAGAATGTAATCTCTTTCTTATCTTACTGTAATAATTTCGATTGAATAACGCGAGATTAGAAAAACTATTGCGTGAATTCTACATATAATAAATATAATAAATATAAACATAAATTGTAATAAGGTATAAAGAGGAAACTTGGCTTTTAAAATGAATTGAAACTGTTTCTAGTTAATTTATTGCACAGAGTACTTATACTAGATTTAATTAGCATCTATTGCCGTATCGCAATAAGGTTGAAAATTGAGCGTTATAATCTGTTTTTGGTCTAAATTAAATTTTGTATCGCTGTTTAACAAGTCAGACTTTGTTGGTTCTAGAACTTGATGTGTTTCTTTGTGTATTTATCTACATATTCAACTTTTATACAAAAAAAATGTTTTTTGCTACAACACAGAATCGGATACAAGTAATTTGGGATCATCAATAATTAACACTTCAATCAATTGAATATTTAATCGACAATAATTTGAACTTTAATAAAATATGTGATGACACATTGGCTTTTTTTGGTTTAACAAAGTGGCCAACTCTAGTCAGATCCTAACAGATAGAAGGCGCGTGAGAATTTCTTACATTTGCCAGCACTCGCGTATATACGTGGTATATATTTTTGCATAATGTTATACATAATTGTATATAATGTATAGTGTTCATTGTTCAGTTTGACATTAAAATATTTTTTACTATTGTTATTGTCTTTTATTGCCTTTGGAAGGCCTCTTTACGATCATATCCTATGGGTTTTAAAAAATATTAAGTTCAACTTACTGACTGAGTTATTTATGAGAATGGGTTTTATTTCTAACAGTGACCTGGAATCGGTACGTGAATTTAACACTGTTTAATAACAAGAAATATATATGTAAAGAAACTATATTTCTTTAATATGTACAGCGCTCTTCTGTCAGTGACCATACTCATGTACGCTATAGATGGCTCTGTGAGTAATGGCGGTCAGCTTTGTCGGGAAAGCAGCTTATATATGGATTGACAGATGAGTTGTGATGGAGCATAATTATTTTTAGTTAATAAAAATTGTATAAGAAGGAATTGATAATTGGAAGAATAGACTTTAAATGTCGTTTCTTTGTTTTCAGGTAGGAAAGCATGATTTAATCTAAAAGTGTAATTATAATTATGTGTATGTAAAATTTGAAATAAAATCTTTGTTTTCAGAGCAACACGATTGTTTATTTGACATTTACAATTCCTAATAAGTTTGGAGTTATTGTCTTATATATATATATATGTATAAGGAGGCTTAATTACAATTAATATTTTTTTTCAAACCCCCAAACTAGTGAGGGTTAAAATTGAGCAAAATTGACACAGTACCACGTTACGAGAATTCTACTGTTGTGACTCGCAGCTTTCGCTGTTCTAGAGTGGGGGCTTGTCTGGAGAAGTACCACGCGCTCTGGTAAATTAGTACTGATTGTACATACTCGTACCTTTCGCACCGAACATTTCGCATTTTTAAAAAAGAACTTTATTTATTACATTGATTTATTTACTACAAAACACAATTTAGAAACTAGAATTAGAAATAAGTATTGACGGGCTTCCAGCTTCCATCTGATACGCTTAGCTACTACAGAAATGCTGACACAGCTCCTTTATAGAGCAAGTGGAATGCATCAGCCTTAAGGTATACAATAATAATATGTAACAGAACGAAATGCGATAGTAAACACTTGCACCTTTCCGGCCGTCTGTGTGTAAACGGTACGTCTTCGAGCTGAACTATCCTAGCAACAGGAGTTGTTATAGAAACACTTACCTGAGAAAAGAAGGTACTGCATTTTTGTTGTAAATTTATACAAGCGCCATCTGTTGTCAACGTTGATTACTAATACGACTATAGGTTTTTGTCCACATTCGGGTTTTCAAAACAATCCTAATTAGCACACGTTTATAATTTTCCTTTGATTTGTGCAAAGAATAGCAGTTACATTTTTTTCCTCTGTTGTTTCCAAGTTAACTGAATAATGTTTAATATGGTTCCTTCTATAGTTTTCCGAGAATACATCTAGATAAGAGCCGCAAAGACGAAGAAACATCTGGGAAAATTATCATACAAATCATTTATTTGTCAGGTGCCAAATCCATCCCTCGACACTAAACATAATTATTGTGCACAAAAATATTTAATCTAAGAAGGAATAGAATAGCCCTAATGTAGCATAATAGTGAAACCTAAATGGTTTATTGTAAAATTTTATTATATTCTTAACATGTTATTATATCCTAATACATTACATAATGTTGTACCAATTTTCGGATGTAGTACTTGTGATACTCTTTCTGTACCTGTATGATTTCTGTACCTCGTGATAATACTCCTCATACCTCGACTATACCAATTGCCAAAAGTCATTTCTATAATTATTATTTAACCTCAATTATACAAAAAAGTTTTGTGGATGTCTGTAATATAATTTGATATGAGAATACTTTGTTTTACGAGAAAAAAAAAGCACTGTTTCCGCCCGGGATCGAACCGGGGACCTTGTGCGTGTGAAGCACACGTGATAACCGCTACACTACGGAAACTATATTGCAAGCGTTAAATAAAGAAATTGTAAGACAAGAAGAAGCGCTATATTCTACTTTTTAATTTAGTCGTATAATATATGTTTATGTATATAGTGATATTTGTATTCCTGTATTCCTATAGTCCCGTCTCAATAAATTTTGAAGAAAAATGAAAAATAGTATCTAAGTACCTGTTTAGAAATTAAATAAACAGCCATTTAGTTTGTAATTTGTGTAATTCTCTCAGACGACGGAATTTGTAAGTAAATTTCGTTGTCTGCGAAAAAATAAAGACTGAAATTAACACCTAAAGTAAACTTACATAGTTTTTTTAACAGTTTTCACGTAATAATATGCACGTTGTACGATGTGTGTATAATCATTTATAGCCTGGGAGTATCTCCGCATTTGTTCGAGCCAAGGGAGTAGTTATTTTGTACTATAAATTCGCCAATTCTAAAAGATAGGAATAATTTAAAAATGTTTTACTTGGTTAAGATACACTTTTAAAAATATATCAACTTTTCCTAGTGGTCGCGAAGTTTTTTTGACCTTTGAAGACAACACTGAAGTAATAAAAACAATTGCTTATAATAATAAACAGTAAAAATGCGTGTTTCTTTTTAGTTTTTCAAATGAATTAAATTATTGCCGGTTGTACTTTCTCTGGATAACAGTAAACACTTCCAAATACATTTGATGGCTCCGTGGCACAGTTGTCAAAGTATGGTTTCGGTGTCCGTGGACGTGGGTTCGATTACCGTGTGGTGAATAGTAGGACTATTCGATGATTGTTTCGCATCCGGGTGTTTGTCCACGTGAAATTTATGTTTGTAAAACGCCCCTACAACACAGGGTAATGTTATCCTAATTTAAGAGCAATGATTTTAAACGCAAAAAAAAAATAAATAAAAAAAATCAGTCGGACTCGAGTCGAGTCGGGGTTCAGAAACCAGTGGTGATTGGTGTTCCAGATGTTGTAACATGTTTTGAAGTCAGAAAAGAGTTTCGCAAAGTTTTTTCATCCATTTGTTATACATCTTTGTCCCTTCAGTGACAGAAATGTGTGTACGACGTCGAGGCGTTTCTAGGGAAATCAAATAAAACGCGTGTTAAAGTTTCACGGATTGTACGTTAAAAGTTTTTTCTTGTTTTCGCCAACTATTATCAAAGGGGAAAAGGAAATATCAACTATTATCAAATTAAATTAACTATTTTGTTGTAATTCTGGTTGAGTGCAGTTTATATTTCAAAATTTGTGGAGGAGAGATGTAAAAAACAGACATTCTTTTTTTTTATTGAGCCAGGGTCATACGCGGAGATCGACAGAAGAATTCACCAGTTTCATCACAGACAGACAAGCGTTTCAGGAGCGCATAAAGGACAAACTGTATGGTTCCGTACACAACGGATAAAACGGGATCCTGTTACTAAGATTCCGTCTGCCTGTCTTTCTGTCCGGTTGACCGTCTGTCACTGTATCTGTACTTATAACCCGTGATAGTTAGACAATTGAAATTTTATGATGTATTTTCTGCTACCGCTTTAAGAACAAATACTAAAAAAACAGAATAAAAAATATTTAAGTGAGGCTTCCGTACAACAGACAAAATCATGTCAACGAAGATAAAAGGCGTTTTCCTTACGGGCCGCTGTATTACCTACGGAAAGTGAGTTACTAGCGTTCCTTTAATCTAAAAGTCGTTATGAAAGGTACAAAGCTATGTAACTAACGGCCGTGCGTTTAATATAGGAACCGGACATTGGTCAGGTTGTGCGGACCACACGATTTTACGGCGCTTATACTGTTGACGTCAATTGTTTAGTTAACATTGATTAATTAACGCTTTACAGTCGTATATTAGTCTTGGGTTGGAGGCTGGCATTATGCTTTCGGCGACAAATTGGTATTTAAATTCGTGCGGTCGCTTGTGCTTGCTTTAGCTAACGAGGCCATTTGGGACAGATAAAGCGGTGTCTACGAAATGTCAGCCATTGTCAATAGTTGCAAACCAGTGTCTTTTTAAGGGGAACAACAATCTTTTGCAAACCAGTGTCTTTTTAGATTCTCGTACCAATCCATTTAGCACGACAAAAGTTTCAATAAAAACATTTTAGTAAACGCACATAAGCTCACATTTTAAGAGCGTGATGTCGATAACAAACGACTATAATTATTAGTTAAATAACCAAGTCGTTTGTTATTTCAAATACTATATTGTACCCTGATGTTTTTGAAAAAGAGCAACTGTTGAGTTTCTTGCCGGTCTCTTCTCAACAGAAACTGCTTTCCGAACCGGTGGTGCCTTACGAACCTATATACATAATCTTTGATGTAAAATTTGACGATTCATAAGAGCGCGCAAGCGTCTATTTGAATAAATATGATTTTGATTTTGATTTTGAAATATGGGTTGTTATTTTAGGGCGTTCTTTGCCAAACTAAAATACATATTGTATTTTATTATTAAAATTTACAGTGCTCATAAATAATTTCATGTTACGTATTTTAGTATTAAATTTTACAGTGCTCATAAATAATTTCATGTATGTACTTTATATTATTAACTAAATAGCATTTATATATTCCATATCTATCGTGCGATACCCCGTGATCAGCCGTTTGGTACGAGCGTAATTTACGCGTAATCGTAAAATAAATAAAATAAATAAATAAATAAATAGAAATGAATGTTATAAACGGTAAAGGTTACTGAGGGGAATCATCAAAGCTATTGAAACATAACTTGGTCACGAGCCGCGTAACTTTAAACGGAAATGTCGGGTTGTGATCGGAGCAAATTCGACGCGAAGTTTTGCAATCTCGACATGATGCTCTTTACTTGCAAACATCTGGCGTATCGAGTTGGAAACAGTGAGAAGTTTAATGCTGAAATTACTACTTTGTTAATATTCCATTTGGTAGCAAAAGTAGTGAGATTTAATACGTACCTACTAATGGCCGCCCAGTGGGATGGCGTGCTCGTAGAAATGAGTAGACTCGTTTCCAATAGAATTTAAACTTTAATCACCGTCACAAAAATAGGATTATCAGAGATGGATAAATAGAGAACGTCTTCGTCTTCACTCGCGTCGTACCAGAATCGCCATCTTACTTTTTGTTCCTCCTCTCATTCATTCACTATCAATCCTTCATTCATCTTACACGACTCATTCATTTCATTTCTTAATTCTTTCAATCAGTCCTCGCATTCCATTCATACATGTTAGTGTGAGCAATGTTTTCTATATTTATTTAATGTATTTTTTAAACATAATTTAAAAAAATATTAGTGTTCTGCACTCCTCTATGTAAACTATAAACTGTATGTCAATTTTCGTACAAAGATTTCGAGGTAGGTATAAAGTTTTTGCTTCACGAATTAATATAAAGGCAATTTAGGAGTTTCAAAATATTAGTAGCCTTCCAAATATCAAGGATTCAAATCGACAATGTACAAAGTGACAGCTTATTTCCTTGAATGGTTTCTCAATGAATCAGCTCGCCAATAACTTACAATAACTTATTAAAAACTTATTAAAGCAATAAAGCGCGTACACTATACACTATTGACATTGTAAC